TAAGATTAGGGTTTTGATTTTTTTTTTTTGGAAGGAATCTGTAAGGTCAAACTATTCTGAAAATAGGGAACTTCTAGGGCCATATTTTGGCAAAAATTTGTTTTTTCGAAGTTCTTCAATTTTTTTTTTCATGGCATTCTAATGGTTCTAAACTTTATTCTCTTGGTCAAAAACCCCATTTTCGCCTTTTTTTCCCTACTTTTGTCGCTTTAAAATTCTCTTCCAGTTGAGATTTTCATCTTCTGACTCTAATCTTAAGGTTTTGACTCTTCCAGCTCTTCCGAGGGTCAATTATTTCAGGATTTTAGATCTAATAATTTCCAAAATTCTCTTTGTCATCTTCAGAACATCTTCAAGGACCGGGAACTGTATTTTAAAACTCAAAAACTTTGAACAGAGTTACAAATTTTAAAGCTAGGATATTCATTTTTCCAAAAATCAGTAGATCTGATTACTCCACGTGTATCTGAAGCTCTTGGCAAAGCTCCCAAAAGCTCCAAAAATAAGATTTTGACTCTTCCAAATCTTCCTATGGTCAATTATTTCGGAATTTTAGATCCAATCATTTCAAAAATTCTCTATTTCATTTTCAGAACATCTTCAAGGTCCAAAAACTGTTTGCAACTCAAAAACTTCGAGCAGAGTCACAAATTTTAAAGCTAGGACATTCATTTTTTCATAAATCAGTAGATCTGATTACTCCACATGTATCTGAAGCTCTTGGGAAAGCTCCCAAAAGCTCCAAACTTTTTTCAACTGCAAAAAGTCCCTTTTTTCCAACTGAAAATGCCAAGGTACCAAAATCAACTTTCTTCTGATAAAAACCCAGGAAAAAAGCCCCAAAATCTCGAACCTGAGCTTTTTTCTTTTCTTTTTTTTTATCTCTGCCGACACCGGTCACTCAAGATAAATCTGTTTCTCCGTCCAAATTCTCTGATTCTCGAGATTTGAGACCGATTTTTTTGTTGTCAATCACCAAACAGACACACACACACCAAATCGTCCTCCACTTTCCATTTCTTTCTTTTTTTTCCGTTCTGATCAAACATTTGGTCAACAAATCTTTCAGTGATTTCGAACGTTAAGAACACCATTTTTCTGAGTTTCTACGTTTTTTTTTTTTTCAAAAACTTAGATTCTTGTCACTCTTGCAGAAAATTCTCAATTTTTGCGAAAAAAATTTTGAAAAAAAAACTTGTATTGCACCTCATTGCTCATGTTACAAGCTTCAAATATTCAGAACTACACTCCAAGTTAAAAATATTTTTTCTCCAGAAAAATAGGAAATTTTCAAACTTTTCCGAAGCGAATTGGACAAAAAATCCCTTTTTTAAGGTTTATTGCATCTTATTGCTCATGTTACCAGCTTCCGATCCGAAGAAAAGTTTAGATTATAGCGAAATTACCTATATTTCGAATTTTTCAAGTTGAATTTTTTTCTCCGTGAAATTTCGGAACTGTTCCAAAGCAAATTGGAGAGAGAAATCACTTTTAAATGTGGTTATTGCATCTTATTGCTCATGTTACAAGCCACACACCGACATGAACTTATCCAAAGAAAGTTGGAGAAAAATGTAAAAGCTTTTATTGCATCTTATTGCTCATGTTACATGCCCCACAATTTTTCGGAAAATTTTCATTTTGGTCAAAGCTGTTTCTAGAAATCGGGGTAGAGCTCGTTTTTCATGATTTTAGAGACTTTTTTGATTGAAAAAAGCCATTCCAAATGCGACCTTGCACAGAATAGGAATTTCATTAGAACGTTTTTTTAATACCTCTTGAACTTCGAAAACGGAAAGATTCTATAAATAAGGAAGTGTAGAAACGTACAATTTACGTGTTCAACTTCCACACCTTTTCTCTTATTGTGCCTCGTTTTTCAATTACCGAGGAACGAAATATGAATTTTCCTCCTGCCCTATTGTCCCAAGGAGAAAAACTCCCCACCCCCCCTCCCCCTATTCATCTCGAGGAAAACGGCAACGCATTTGCATAGTATTGTCTGTCTGTCGGGTCCAGTTTCTTCGCACTTTTTTTTCGAACTTCAAAATTAATTTTGAAAAAAAGTTTTTCCGGTTCAAAAAAACCTTCAGAAACAGTCCTATCAGAAAATTTTGGTCTCCAAGTTTTTTTTTCTAATTTTCCACCGATCAGAGAGCTCAAGTGGTCTGAAAAAGTATTCACTAGTAGATTTGTAAAAAAATTAAATTTTTCTTTCTGATAAAAAAACCGGTAAAACCTTCATTTCAAAAATTATTTCCCATCAAAAAACCGCCTCTCATTTCTCATTAGCCGTAGAGCGCACAAGAGTGTCACAGAATAGCCGCTTATTTTTTTCAAAAAAATCCTTAAAAAAATAGTTTTAAACTTCAAAAAAATTTTTATTTCACAAAAATTTTTGCTATAAAAACCATTTCTCAAGGTTTATTGCCCATAAAGCGCAAAAGTTGTGGAAACACAGCCATTTTCATGATTTTTTTATTTTAGTATTTGAACATTTTAAGAAAGTTCAAACAAATTTAAAATTTGAACCATACAACCGAAAAAATCGTATCTGTCAGTGGAGCGCATAAAAGTGTGTAAAAAGCCGCCAATTTCTCTCAAAAATTAAAAAAGCTCTATTTTGTCATTGGAGCGCATATGAGCTAGTGAAAACAGCCGATATCTGAGATTTAGTTTTTTTTTATCAACCGAGCGCATTTTTAATTTTGAAAACAGCCTTCGTGAAATAAAAAACATTTTCAGTGAATATCATAACTTGAAATCAAAGAAGAGTCTTTTTTATCATTGGAGCGCATATGAGCTGCTAGAAACAGCCGGTTTCTGAGTCCGATCTTTTTCTTATCACTGGAGCGCATTTTCTACTTCAAAACAGCCTCCGTTAAATAAAAGACATTTCTAATGAATATCATAAATTGGAGTCAAAAAAAAACTCAATTTTATCACTGGAGCGCATATGAGCTGCTGAAAAACAGCCGGTTTCTGAGTCCGATCTTTTTCTTATCACTGGAGCGCATTTTCTACTTCAAAACAGCCTCCGTTAAATAAAAGACATTTTCCGTGGATATCATAACATAGCATCAAAAAAATGAATTTTTCTCATTGGAGCGCATATGAGCTGCTGAAAAAAAGCCGATTTCTGAGTCTGAGCTTTTTTTTCTTATCACTGGAGCGCACTTTCTACTTCAAAAACAGCCTCCGTTAAATAAAAAGACATTTCTAGTTGATATAATGACTAAAAAGTGAAAAAAAGTAAGTTTTATCATTGGAGCGCATTTGAGCGGCTAAATGAGCCGATTTCTGAGACCGAGCTTTTTTTTATCAGTGGAGCGCATTTACTACTTAAAAAAAGCCTGCGTAAAGTAAAAATACATTTCTAGTGGATATTTTTAACTTTAAGTCAAAGAAAGTCATTTTTATCATTGGAGCACAATTGACGCAAAAAAACAGCCACATCTCAAAAAAAGTTACGACACCAATTTTTTTCTCATTTCTCTCTCATTTTTTTAATCTTAGAACATGATTTTTTTGTCCTTTCCTTCTACATTTCAAAGACGTCTGATGACTCAAACATCGGTTTTTGTGACACCAATGGAAAAAAATGCAATGTTTTTCCTCCATTGTGGGGGCGGGTATTTTTTTGCAATGGGTACTGCCGAACACCCCGGTGATAACCACGCATGTTTTTTTGCGCTCTTCTCTTCGGTCGAAAGTTTGCAGTTTTCATTATTATTTACTTTTTTTTCAAGGTTTTGTACAGTTTTCTGATCATCGGAATGGTTTTTTGGTTGTTTCTTGACCGAATTGCCATGGAATTATTTTTTAAATCTTAGGATGATGTTCAGAAATTCCTATTTTATAGATATCACTTTGGAATTAACTTCTAGAAAAAAACAATAAAATTTCAAAAAAATCAGCAGATATAATACAAAATTTACAGCCCTAGTCCACAGAAAAATCGGTAGAATATTCAAAAATGTTCGAAAATGGCTTTTTTTGCTCTGCTTTTCCACTGAGAAAATAGCTCAAAATGAAAATCATTTCAATATTTTCAATTAAAACTGCTTCTCTTACCTTGGTTAGATTTCTTGAGAGGTATATCTTACAAAAAAATATTAAAAGAGTTTTTTTATCCGAAAAAAATTTTTCAACTTTGATTTTTCGCCGATCACCTCAACCTCACAACCGGCTTTTTCGATTATTTTCAGAGACCAGAAAATAAAAAAAAATCACTAAACGTTTTCAAACAAAATAGAAAATGTATTTGAAAAAAGAATTATGTTCTTCACAAAGCTTCCTCTTAACAATGAATTCTTAGGTTGCCTCGTAGGGGGGATCAATTTTACTTCGAAAATTTTCATTTTGGTCAAAGCTGTTTCTAGAAATCGGGCTACAGGTCGTTCTCATGATTTTAGAGACTTTGGTTGAAAAAAAGCCATTCCATGACCTTAAAAAAAAACGAAAAATCAAATCATTAGAAGGTTTTCTTAATACCTCTTAAACTTCGAAAACGGAAAAGTTCTACAGACGTACAATTTACGAGCTGAATTTTCCTGAAAGTTGGCCAGAACACTTCTTGATGTACCAGAAGATAGTACTGAAAGTCTCAACCTTCACAACTTGCTAGTTTTCGAAAAAAAATGTCTCAAAATAACCTATTTTTATGGATTTTGAAGGTTTTCATTGACCTTGAGGCGTCTTTTCTCAAAAACGAGAAAGTTTTGCAGGTTGAGAATTTCAGAATCTCTTTCTGGTACATCAAGGAGTGTTCTGGCAAATTTTCAGGATATTCCCAACCGTAAAGTTAAAGGAACTCCCTTGTCAAAAAACGAAAAAAACAAACTTTTTTTTAAGCTCTACTTCTTTGTACTTTTCTGTCCAATTTTCATCGTTTTTCAATAAATTCTCGGTTTGCTTGGCATTTTATACAGAACGGAACCCTAAAAAACAAATTTCGCAGTTTTTAAAAGCCTCAATTTCAATTGAACTCCTTTTTTGGAATGTTTTCATTTTTCTCTATTTTCCGACCACTTTTCCTCGATCGCTACTGCTCCAACCTCACTGAACTTTCAAAAATCAACTTACTCCAGGTAGCCGACCCCACCGCAAGCCGACCGAAAGATGTCTTCGAAGCAAGAGTCGAGCGACTACGAGATCCAGTACCGGTCGACGATCCAGCCGAGGACCGCCGTCCGAAGCCAGAGTCGCCAGAGCGGCAACTATGTCTCCGGCAGCACCGGCACTGGCGGTGGTGGTCCGTTCTTTTTTTTCTCGTAGATGAAAATTGTCCTAGTACTGGTGGATTGTGTGAGGAAAAGGAGCTTTTTGGTATAGTTCTTCTTCTTCTTCTTCCTACGCCTTTGTACCGCTTGAGCGACGTCGGTGCCCCAAGTCGATTAGCCGAGGTCCTATCCTGATATCAGTGGACTGGCTCGAGTGACATATCCGCCCTTGTGTGTGACGGCTGGGGATTATGAAGCCGTGGTTTCCCACTACCAACATTTCTTAAACCCCTTCGTTGGGTCGAGGCGTGGGTCGAACTTGTAACCCTGTGGACCGTAGACAGGCACACAACCTGTTGCGCTACGACGCGCCCCTTTTTGGTATAGTTGAAGCAAAAAAATCCGGAAGTCCCAATGGGAAAATGAAAGATGTGAAGGTACTCGGTTAGAAGAAGTAGAAATTATCCGGAAGACTTAAGAAAAAAAAGGTACCTTTCAGCAGGTATAAAAATGTCACTTTAGTGCATAGGTGAGCATAGGAAAGGGTGGAAAAAGGCTCCATAGAAATGTTCCTTTTTGCTGCCTTTTTGCGCCATTTTGTCGGTCCTTATGCACCATTTTTGCTGCCTCTCCCTTTCTCCACCATTTCTAGAGCCTTTAAAATCCTAGAAAAAATGAAAGGCTCGAAAAAAGGACTCATTTTGCTGCCGTTTTGCAGCCTTTTTGCGGCCTTTTCGCGGCCCTTATGCACCACTTCTTGAACCTTTAGAGTCCTAGAATTGGAAGGCTCGATGAAGGGGCCTCTTTGCTGCCTTTTTGCGGCCTTTCTGCTGCCTTTTTGAGACCTTTTTGCGGCCTTTTTGCTGCCTTTCTGCTGCCTTTTTGAGACCTTTTTGCGGCCTTTTTGCTGCCTTTCTGCGGCCTTTTTGCTGCCTTTCTGCAGCCTTTTTGAGGCCTTTTTGCGGCCTTCTCGCTGCCTTTCTGCGGCCTTTTTGCTGCCTTTCTGCAGCCTTTTTAGGGCCTTTCTGCGGCCTTTTTGGGCCCTTTTTTGTGCCTCTCTTTTCTGGGGACCATTATCCACCATTCCGACATTGTCCGAAGAGCAATTAAGGGCTGAATTAATATGAAAATCTAACCAAAGTTTCTAATTATCACTGAACATCTATTTTGACTTGGAAAAATGAAAAAAAGACCGTCAAAAAAAATTCTTTGAACATATCCCGATGAGAAATAGACAGTAAATTCTTATCAACTCAGGTAAGCTGGAAACGCTCTTCAATGCTCTGGATAATTTCCGCGAGAAAAAAAACTTCGAACTTCCCTCAAAACAACACGGAAAAATATTTTCGTTGGCCTTTTTGGTTTGTTTGAGAGCGATAAAGGAAGAAAAAGAGAAGAAAAAAATATTGCAAAAATGAGTCAGACCTTTATGTTTTTTGTTGCGATGGCGGAGACTTTTCAAGTATGAGAAATTGGGAGAAAAAAAAATCGAATCAAAGTAACAAAAAGTCGTTTTTTTTTAATTTTTCAATGAAGAATGGACCGAAAATATTGAAAATTTTCTTGTGAGCTTTGATTTTTAGATATGGAAATGTTTGAATTTTGAATTTCCAGCTTTAAAATTTGTTAAAAGACTATCTGGAAAACAGACAGTGTAAATAAAGCTTCATGAGTATTTTTGAACGCGTCGCGGCTCGCGTTGCGGCCGGAAAAATTGAAATAATATTTTTTTAAAGCTTTTTTTCAGTTAAAAAAATCATCTTTCTTCCTTTGATTGCGTATGTAAATGCGGTAATGAGGGCGTAAAGTTCAAGATTCTGAATTTCTAGATTTTTTTACTGCGCGGAAAAATGTTGAAACCAATCAATTTACGTGTGAAATTACTCGGAAAAACATCAAAAAAAAATTTTTTTTTTCCTTTTTTTTTTTTTGAACGATACCAGTGGCCGTCTGATCATTCAAAAATCAATTTTCAATGATTTTTCAGTTCAAAACTTCCTTTTTTTCCTATAAACTCGATTTTAAAGCCTAACGTCGTAAAACTTCAACGACCCACTCTTAACAACTTTTTTTCCTTTTCTGGAAAAATAGTAAAATGCGACCATTTCTCTCCTGTGAACAGCCACACCTTCCTCCCCTATAAATCACTCCATTTCGAAGCCATCAATTCTCAGTTTCGAAACACCAAGGAAGGTCACTTCGAAATGGGCGTGTCGATTTTGCATTTTAGGGCAGGCGAGAGAAATTTGCATTTTATTGTGGGATTTGGTGAGATTCGAAACTTTCTTGTTTCGAAATGGACCAAAATGATCATTGGAAAAAGGTTTTGGAATGATTTTCTGGACTTTGAGCAGCGAAAAGGAGAGATTTGGAAAGTTTAAACTGTTCTAGTCTGGAAATAGATTGATTTTTTTTAATTTGGGGTCCCAAAAATAACATTTTTCAATCTCAAGGCAGGAAATTTCGCATCCTACGGTTTCCAAACTCCCCAAACAATCTCAAATTCAAAAAAACCAAAAAAATGTTTTTTTAAAATCAAATTCCGTATGTCACTGTACCACACCTGGAAAGTGATTCAAAACGTTCGAACTTTAATAGTTTCATTTTAATCCAAAACGATCATTTCTAGAAAAAAAAGGCGCCGATTTTGTTGTCACAAACATTTGGCCGTCAAACTGCCCTGAAAAGGCGCTGTAAAAACGTGTTCGTTGGCGGGGCGAAAAATCGTTCCGAGACAAAAAAAAAAGTTGTTGTGTATTGTTTATGGGTTTGTGGTCGTTTTGGGAGTTTGAGGAATTAAAAACTTTTTTTTTGGAAAATGAGCTCGGAGATGTTGAGTCGATGCGCAGTGAAATTCAAAAAAAAATTTAGAAAAAACAGTTGATGCTCAGTCAAATTTTACAACAGAAACGGAGCCAATCAGAGTCCTGCCTAACCCATCAGTATAGATATAGATATCGAACCCGATTATTTTTGAAGCTGAAGGCTGATGAGCAGTGAATTGAGGATACGGAGCCTGAGAGCTATGAGAAGAAGTCCAGTCGATGCTCAGCCAAAATAAAAAAAAAATAGATACGGAGCCAATCCAAGTCGATGCTTAGCCTATCTAAAGATGAAGCCGATGCGCAGTGAGAAAGAGGACACGGAGCTTGAGTTGATGCTCAGCCAAGTTTTACAAAAGATACGGAGCCAATCAAAGTCCTGCCTAGTCTGTCAAGATAGATATAAAAATCAGCCACTTCTTAAGATGATGCGCACTGAAATTGAGGATACGGAGCCTCCTCCCAATGCAAAAAAAGTCCAGCCGATGCTCAGCTAAAAATAAAGATGGATACGGAGCCAATCAAAGTCCAGGCTTAGTTAATCTGAAGATAAAGGTGATGCGTAGTGAGAAGGAGGATACAGAGCCTGATTACTAGGCAAAAAAGCCCAGTCGATGCTCAGCCAAAATAAAAAAAGATACGAAGCCAATCCAAGTCCATACTCAGTCATTCCGCAAATGAAGCCGGTGCGCATTGAAAAGGATGATACTGGGCTAGAGTTGATGCTCAGCCAAAACACAAAATAGATACGGAGCCAATAAAAAGCTCAGGTTCAGTTATTCAGAAGATGATAAAACCAAGATAGATATCAAAACCTGTCTTTTCTGAAGATGAAGCCGATGCGCAGTGAATTTGTATACGGAGCCTGATGCCTTTGCAAAAAAAAGTCCAGTCGATGTTCAGCTAAATTTCAAGATAGACACGCAGTATAGATCGAGCCAAAATCAAGATCTACTCATTCTGAAGCCGATGCTTTGTGAGCAAAAGGATACGGAGCTAGAGTTGATGCAAATTTAAAAAGAAATACGGAGCAATTGAAATTCTATGTTTTCTAAAGTTGATGCTCAGCCGAACGGCAAAATGACCAACACTTTCTGAAGCTAAAGCCGATGCGCAGTGAATTCGGATACGGAGTCCGCTTCAAAAAAGTTGCCCCTTCTTTGTCCGCTCTATGGACATCCAGAAAATCACTGAGCTGATGCGCAGTGAATATAAGGATACGGAGTTTTTTGCTCTTCATTTCTGATCCTTTCCCAAGAAAGAAGGCGAAAGGACGGCTCGAAGAAGTTTGCCCAAACCATGACAAACGGTGTGATAAACCCTGAATCGTTTCCCATTTTTTAACGATATGACATATTTGTGCATTGGGAGGAGGTGGGGCCAAGCATTCATGAACTTTTGTCACTTCTACAAGCTTTTCTTCTGGCTCAGCCCCGGCAACGCAAAAGTCTGCAAACCGCCCAAGGAGGAGACGCCTTGTTTTCGACCCAAAGGTCAATATTTTTCTACTATTTTCTATATTTCTTTCTGTGTGATTATTCCTTATCCGTTTCTGCATTTTTAGCAAGCAGATTTTATTTCATTTTTAAAAAAACTTTCAAAATTCTGTCCAAAAAATCTCAAAAGTCACGAAAATCTGAGCTTAGGGGGTAATTTTTGACGTCATCAAAGAAAAAAACGAGATTTCAATTTTTTTGTTATTTATGCCACTTATGGTCGAAAGTGACGTCATAGACAACTTCCCAGTTGATGCGCAGCCAAAGCAAGGGTTACTTTGAAATTTGAAAAATCTAAAGTTTGGAACTTTGAATGACGTCATAGATTATTTTTCTCAGTTGATGCGCAGCCAATTTAGAAGTTAAACCCATAAGCTCGAAAAATCTGACAATTAAAAATGTACGGGAGAGCTTTTATGGCTTCGATGACGTCATATGACGTCATATTCAGCTTATAATGACGTCATAAACTCCTTCTTCAGTTGATGCGCAGCCAATTCAAATTTTAAAACTTTCATTCCACTTCTGAGAACTCCCCTATCAAAACTTCACAATTCAAAAAAGATCGATGAAATTCTGAAGAATCCTATTCTCAGTTGATGCGCAGCCAATCAGAGCCTCCTCCTATCAACTCGAGAAAACCTTTTGATGACGTCATCAATCGCTTCGTCAGTCGATGCGCAGCCAATTCTTCCTTTGAAGCTGTTCTGGAGATCTTCCATCTGTGCTTCTTCTTTTTAATGTACCTTCTGATGACGTCATTCTCCAAGTCGATGCGCAGTGGGATTCTGACGTCATCAACTCAAAATTTGATCTGAGCCAACTTGAAACAAGGCGTAGTACAAGCTCCGGTGAACGTTTGCCTTTGCTTTTCGGCCCCCCGACACCTCGTCGGCAAACAAGCGAAATTCGCCTTCCAGCCCCACTTGAGGGACCACTTTGGAAATTCAAGGAAATCGATAAATTCGAAGAGGTCAACAAATGGGATCGATTGATGATGATTAACGTTGATGATCAGTGATAAGGAGATCTTCTCAACCTTGACGCCGTCGTCGTCGGCCTTCGCTCCGCCCCTCGATTGTTTCCGTCGTCGGGTCTCTGTGCGTTTCTCTGCTGATCCAATGATCTCTCGCCGGTTTCTTGATCAGCCTCGTTCTCTCTTGACGGAGAGAGAGAGAGAGTGCCTATCTCGATGTTTCCGCAATTTCCGCCCCCTTCCAAGGTCCACACCCATTTTTGCGACGACGACGACGAAATAGAAGCGACGTCTTCTGTTTGTAGTAGTTGAACAAGATGAACAGCAACACGGTTCACACGTCTTCGACGACGACGTCTTCTTCTTCTTCTCATGGACTGCCTCATCATGGAGGTGGCGGCGGCGGTAATGAGCTTTTCCTTCTTTTTTCGATTCTCAACTTTCGGAGCCCATTTTTTGAGCTTCAATGTGACTTATATAGTTAGAAAAGACCTCTTTTTTTGTTAAAATGATATTTTTTTCTTATGAAATTGGTAACGTAAATCTTTATTCTCAATCTTTGGGGTCAATTTTTTTGAGGTAGAAATTTTTTTGCCTAAGGGATTTTTTTCCTCCAGAAGCTTCTCTGTATAAAAAAACTTCATAAAGCTAATTTTTCTCTTCGAATTTTTCATAAACTGTGATTTTTCTTTTTTTAGGGGCCTTCAAATGTTCCAAAATGACTGAATAATTGAAAAACTTGAAAAAATTTTTTTGTAAGGATTTTCAATCTTGGTAGTGATTTTTGAGCTTCGTTTTGGCTAGAACCGCGAAAAAAATTCTTCATTTTATTTATTGTTCAAAAATTTATTAAAATTTACATTTCAGAAGTTTTTTATGTACCTATAACCTTTGGAATTCAGTTTTAAAGATAATTTTTTTTTTTCAGAAAATTGTTTTGGAAAATCGAAACGGCTCTTTTTTCGATGTAAGGTTGCTCTAACGAAAACTTTTTCAATTTGAATCATTTTACAGCTTTAATTCAACTTCAAAAGCTTCGAAAACAAGTTTTAATCGATTTGATCAACTAGTGAATCACTCAAAAAAATTCTCTGATTAAGGAATTTTTGAAAAAAATAAGATTTTTTTCTTGTCTAAATATACGGATAAAGTTTTGATTCCGGATTTTTTTGAGGTCCATTTTTTTCATTTCTTTTCATTTCAGTTATTTTATAAATTATCAAAAAAACTCAGCTTTTTCCTGGTCTTTTTATCATTTTTTTACCTTGCTTCTCAATATTTTTTTCCATTTTTTTCTCAAGTTTCAAATGAAAACCATCCTTTAATGACTGTTTTCCATCTTCTAAACCATATACGGATCCATTTTTTTTCTTTTTGATTTTTTAGAAGCCTAAAATTACTTGTTTTCGTTAAAAAATTCTTCATAATTTTCAAAAATTTCTTCGTAAATAACTTGAGTCGCTTTTCCAAATGCAACCTTTCCATACAAACAGCTCAAAAAAATGGGCAAATATTTGACCTGGGGGCTAGAATCCTATGGAGTTTTTCCAAACTTGGAGCATGGTCTCGAAAGTGCGAAAAATTTTTCTTGCAAAGTGTAAAAAGAAAGAAAAATTCTGTTCCAAGAAAAATGGAAGCTGAATTTGGTACAGAAAAAAATAGAAAAAAAGACAATTTTGAGGGTTTTTTTAGAGCTCTGGGAATTTTTTTTCGAGAGAAAAAAATATTTTTTTCAAATATTTATTTTTCCTTTTTTTCTCGGAACCCTTCTCATCAAAAAAATTTTTAAAAAAACCAAAAAAAGTCTTCGATTATTCGATTATTTCATCTCGGAGCGTTTAAAAAAACACTTTAAATTTTGCCCCCCCCTATCTCTAGTTCCTGCCCCCCCCCCCAATTTTTGTTAACTTGAAGCTTTCAGAAGCTTGGTAATTTTTGAAAAAGCCAATTTTCCAGCTTTTTCTTGAGGTTTTCGCTCTTACTGACGTTACAAAAAACGAAACGAGGCGAAAAATTCCACCCAGTGTCAAATTTTAAACTTTTGCTTGAGGTTTCCGCTCTTATTAATATCTCAGAGTTCAGAAAAAGCCAAAAAAATCTAGCCTGATATCGTATTTTAAGCTTTTCCTTGCAATATATAGCTCAATTAGGGCTCTCAGACCGTTCTCTAAGCCCTTTTAAATTGAGAAAACTACTCAAAATCGAAAAAATCCCCAAAAACCGTTCGGGAAATCAAAGACCGATCATCGGACGTGCGTCGAAATGCATTGCGGCGTTGTTTACTACACACACCGATTTTGGATGGCGGTGGGGCCGAATAGATTTCCTATAGATTATCACCGACGAGGGGAAGAGAAGAACGGAGTTTCGACCGGGAAAAAATCGATCGATTTGTTTGTTTGGTGGCCTTTTTTAGTAGGGCTATGGTGCTCTAGAGAGAATATTATGAGAAAGGAGCAAATGAAAATTTTTTTTGGATAGTTATCTTTCAGAATAAAGCTCTAGTAAGGGAAAATGAACTGAAAATAGAAAAAAGTCCAAAAAAGAAAAAAAAAATCGATCGATCTCTTTGTTTGGTGGCCTTTTTTAGTAGGGATGTGGAGTTCTAGGGAATATTTTGGGAGATTTAAAAAAAATTTTTTTCAGAGTGTATGAGGTTCTAGAAAGGATCGATGAACTTAAAAATTCAAAAAAATCAAAAAAAAAGGCAAAAAACGATCGATTTTTCGTAGAAATCTATATGTTTATAACACTTCGAGAAGGTAACGGTTTTGAGTCTTTAAGCAATCACTTAAGAGGTTCTAGCGCCTCTTAAGTGGCCCCTTCGAGGATCTATACCTGTTAAGACTACACAGAAACTGCCAACGGTTTTTAGCAATTTAGCAATAACTTAAGTGGCTTCAGCGTCTCTTAAGTGATCCCTTCAAAGATTCATACCTGTTTAGACTACCCAGAAACTGCCAACGGTTTTTAGCCATTAAGCAATCACTTGAGTGGCTTCAGCGTCTCTTAAGTGGTCCCTTCGAAGATTTATACCTGTTTCGACTACCCAGACACTGGAAATCATTTTCCGTCGCAAAGCAATCACTTAAGTGGCTTCTGAACCTCTATAGTGTCTCCTTGAAAATAAAACCACTTGGGCCAGTGTCTGGATGTTGTAAAGTTTAAAGAAGCATAGATTAATTTTATCTAAAGGTCTTAAAGCGAAAAATATTATTTTAGGTTGTGCAAGATTTTCGCTCTTAAATGACTGATTTTTGAATGGATCATGGCCTTTGAAATCAAAATTTCGACGAGAATTCCAAAAGACACTGAAAAAGGAACCTTCAGAACAGTCGGCAAACTTTAGACTTCCAGAAAAAAGAGATACAGTACCGCTCAAAAGTCTATTAAGTTTTGGTTTTTTGGGGATATCTCAGCGAGCACTTATCCGATTTATATATAACTTTCAGGGATAATGTAAAATATACTTTGAAACGTATACGGTATACAAAGACATGTCCGCAATGACTGTGACCCGTTTTAGGCATTTTTTATTGAGTTCCATTTTTTTTGTTTTTTATGCTTTTATTTTTATTTATTTTTATTAAATTTTTTAAAATTAATAATGTTGCCATATGATTTTTTTCATGTTTTCAGACATGGGAAGAACCTCAGGAAAAAAGAATTTGACTGATAACGACAAAAGAGCCATCGTTGTGGGTCGTCAAAATGGACTGACCATGATGACGTTGGCAGGAATGTTCGGCGTGACAGAGGCGTGCATTTCTCAGTCCCTAAAGCGTTGGAAAGCTCAAGATGGCTCTACTAAGAGCCAACGCACTAGAAGACCACGTGTCACTGATCGTAATGACGATAGGAACATTTTGAAGACGTCTAGAACCAATCCAAGACTCACCGCCCCTGCGATCAGACGGGAAGTTTTCTCGAATTCGCCATCTCCGCCATCCGTCTCGACCGTGAAACGACGTCTCAATGCTGCTGGAATCATGGGAAGACGTCCAGTGAAAAAACCGCTGATTTCTGAAAAGAATCGAGCCGCCAGGGTGAAGTGGGCGAAGGAGCATCTCAACTGGACCCGTCAAGACTGGAATCAGATTCTGTGGTCCGACGAAAGCAAGTTCCTCCTCTTCGGGAGTGACGGAATTCAGTGGGTTCGTAGACCAATTGGGTCCCGATATCATCCGAAATACCAATTACCCACCGTGAAACATGGTGGAGGTTCTGCATGGTGTGGGGCGCCTTCTCTGGAAGTGGCATCGGACCGCTTCATCGCGTGAACGGCATCATGGACAAGCACGTCTACAAAGACATTCTCCAGAACCAGATGTTGCCGCACTTGAGAGCCATGGGCCGTGGGAGTGTTTATCAACAGGATAACGATCCCAAGCACACTTCACTGTTCGTCAAGGTGAGAAAAATTGACAAGTAATTCGTATGGTTTTGAAACTCAGGACTGGTTCAAGAGCCGTCGGGTCAATGTCATGGGGTGGCCAAGTCAATCTCCGGACCTGAACCCGATCGAACATCTCTGGGAAAAGTTGGAGCGACGTTGTGCCAACAAAAAGAGCCAAGAATTGCAACGAGAAGTTTGCTCAACAGCTGTCTGAATGGAATCAGATCCCCATGTCTACCATCGACACTTTGCTCAATTCTATGCAGAGAAGATGCCAGGCAGTGATTGACGCCAGGGGCTTCGCAACCAAGTACTAGGTCCCGAATATTGTTTTTAACAATGTTTTGTGTTGATAAAAAAATTTTTTTTGTTGAGCTATGATTTTTTTAATTGAAAATAGCAAAAAAATTCGATTTTTTTCGAGATTTCGTTTTTTTCTCGAAAAAAATTATTATTCTTTGAGCTAGCAACTTGAAAGTTTGCCAGAACACGTATGTCTCTCTCAGAAAACTATGAAAAAAAATTTGAATCGATATCGCACTTCAAAAAAATTTATCCCCAAAAAAACCAAAACTTAATAGACTTTTTGAGCGGTACTGTACAATGTCAAAAAATCAACAAAAAGGTTCCAAATTTCAGGCCGCGTCTTGAAAATGGTGACGGAAATGGGATCGGCGACGATCGGAGGGATCTCGCCGGCGCTTTCCGCCAACGCCGCCAAGTCGTTCTTGGAGGCCACCGACAAGGAAAAGAAGGAGCTCCAGGTGAGATTTTGAAGTGATATAGCCTGTGTGACACGACTTGAAATTTCACGGAACGACATTCCGCTGTTCCGCTGCGCGCGTTCGCGAAGCGTCTTTCGAACCTAGGTCACGCTTCCAATTGATTGTTATTGCTGTGGGAGCACATTAAAGTAGAGTACCTTGATGAAAAAAAAAATTAAAAGCGCGACCAAGGTTTGCAAAGGCACGCAGCGGCACAGCGGAATGTCGTTCCGTGAAATTCCAAGTCGTGGTACACAGGCTATAGGAAGTCAGAAAGTAAAATAAGCTCTCTAGTTTAGTCTGGATGATTTTTTTTTTGAGGATTTGAAGGAAACTGATTTAGAAGTTTATATGAGATTATTTGACGACTCAAAAACAAAAGGAAAATAAAAAATCATTAGTCAGCTCTATAAGAAGTACCAGAGAAGCGGGAAAGTCACTTTTTTCGCTTTTTTTGCAGATTTTGTAGATTTTTATCAGGTTAAATGACTATGAGTCCGATTTTATAGTGCTAAAAAGAGTCCAGTGGGCTTTGGACCTTTAAAAAAAAAGTTACGGTATTCAGAATTATCCAAATAAGGTACTAGAAAGGTCTCAAATTCGAAAATAAACAAAGTCTAATTCAAAAAAAATTTTAGAAGTTCCTAGAGGGTGGCGAAAAAATGTTTTCAGAAGTCGAAAATTTTTTTTCAAGTCAAAATCAGAAATCTGATTGGTCAAATCGAAATCGAAGCAATTTTTGAAGTTCGAAAGTAGATTTTCAAAAAATTAGGAAAATCAATGCAGTTCAGTAACATGGTAAAAAAACAACTTACAAGATCAAATTTTTTTAAAACTCTTATGAATAAAAAAAGAAATAATAATCACTATCTATTCCAGAGAGAAATTTTAAGCTTTCAAGTCTGCAAAAATCGTTTTTTACTGATTTTTTTAAATTTTTCTAACTTTTTCATCAATAAATGTTCCATTAAAAATCACAGTAACTCATAAATTTCAGAATAAATACTTGAATCATTTTAATTTATAAACAAAAAAACTGACAGGGACTCAACGACCGCCTCGGCAACTACATCGACCGGGTGAAGAAGCTCGAGGAGCAGAACCGAAAACTCGTCGCCGACCTCGACGAACTCCGCGGCAAATGGGGCAAGGACACTTCTGAAATCAAGGTTTGCTCTTTGAAAAATTATAAAAAAAAGCCTTTATTGAAAAATTGTTTCAAAACCATTGAACAGTTAAACGTCCGGAATTTATCTCTTTTTGAAATTAAAAAAAAATATTTTTATGATTTTTTTGCGAATACTCCAAGGCGCAATAATTTGGAGAAAAGATAGAAGGAAAGAAAAATTGGAAATTGAATAAAAAGACAAAAACAGAAGAAAATGAGAATTTAGTGAGAGCCCTATTTTTGTGCGAAAATAGGTCATAGGTCAAAATGGCAAAACGTACGAAATAAGTCTGATTTTTTTCATTTTGAAGCTTTTTTTGAGATCAGAATAATCTATTTTGTAGAAAAAAAGAGAAATTTGCAAATTAAACTGTTTTTAGATAAGCTTGATCAAATCTTGAATGTCTCGCTTTGCTGAAAAAATCGATCGGTTAAATTTTTTTCTGGATTCCACGAAAAATTTTATTCAACAATGTTAGCCCAGAATTTGAAGAATCTAAAGATTTTCGTTACCCATTGAACGTAGTTAACTTTTCATGTGAGATGAAGAATGAATCATTTTTAAAAATTCCGGCGATTACTGTAGGTTGGTGGTGCAGACACAGTCGATGAATACACAACTAGCGGCATTTTATTTCACGCGCATTTCAGAAATTTTTTACAGTTTTTGTCTTTTTTTTAAAATGCTTTTGGCTTCAATTTTCGTTTCCCAACAAAAGTTTACAGATCAAGTACTCGGAATCGCTTTCGACGGCCAGAAAGGATATTGACGAGGCCGCCCGACGAAAGGCCGAAATCGACGTGAAAGTCGCCAGACTTCGCGACGATCTTGCCGAGTACCGCTCACGGTTTGGCTTTCTTTACTTGTTTTAGATGATATATTTCGTTTTGAGAGTTTTCGGAATGAAAAAATTGGAGAAAAAGCTGAAAAATAGCTATATTTTGATATATTTCTTCATTTTTTTCAGGAATCCAATAAAAATAATATTGTATTTTTAATAGCTTTTTCGCAAAAATTAAGCATGAAAATTGTAGAAACCGACCTGCTTTTTAAATATTAAAAAAATTATAATTTTTTTCAATTTTTTTCCGAGTTATCTTTTTCGTAACTGTTTCACTTCAGAAAATGGAAAAATAGTATTTTTCGTAAATTTCAACTTTTTCTCTTTTTTTTAAAGTTGTAAAATTACTTTTTGTACTGCTTACCACAATCTTACAATCTTACAAGTCCACTGTATTGAATTGAAAACATTTTGAATTTTTTATTTTTTCCTCCAATTTTTGCCCGATTTTTGTCTTTTTCCTGTCAGCCAATCAATCATTCGTAGTTTTCCAAATCGGGTAATAGTAGTAAACGTTCCTAAGAACGATAGGAGAAGGGAAAATTTCCGGTTTTCACAGCCACACCCATCACATTTCACACCCAAAAATTGCCGTTTTTTCGATTCATTCCAATAAATTGCCTTTCCTTACAAGGAAGGTCGTTTTACTTTTCTGTTGGAATTTCTTGAAAATTGGTCGGAAGACTTCTTGGTGTACTAAATGAAGATTCTGGTAGTCTCAACCTGCAAAACTTCTTAGTTTTTGAGAAAATACGCCTCAAATTCAGTGAGAACCCTACCATTGAAAATCCATTGAAATAGGCCATTTTGAGCCCTTGTTTCTGGAAAACTCGGAAATTTTACAGGTTGATCATTTCAGAATCTTTTTCTAGTACATCAAAGAGTATTCTGGCAAAATTTCCGGAATTTCCCGACCGAAAAGTAAAATTACCTTACCTCCTTTAAGGTCATTGCAGAAGGAGAAAAAAATTTTCATGGAAAAAAATGAAAGATATTTCTGAAGAGGCATCATCGGACTTGTATGTTTGCTTCAAACATTCAGTTTCGTTTTTTTCTTCTTTTATTTGCTCTTTCTCGAAAATTTCTCGATTCTTGGGGTTGATAGCGATTTTTTTGATGGAATTTTGAAGATGATCGATTTTTTTCGGATTTGAAGACTTTTGAAATTTTTCTTGTACGTGTCTTTTTTTGCGAAGTAAAGTTCAAATAGTTTAGCAAGCTATTTTCAAAAAAAAAAGGCTTGAATCGAGGAAAACTGTGTTAATTTTCTAAATTTCATTACTGAACTTCAACGTGAAAATTTTTTTAACGGATTTTGAAACAGTAAACAACAGACAGTAAAAATTAAAAAAAAACCTTTTCTGCTCGAAAATCGATTTCAAAGAGGTCGCAGGGATTTCAAAAACTTGTCAAATCATGACGTCACTTGAAAATTCAAATTTCAAGCAAGCGCTTTAGGGAAAAAATTAAAAGCCACTTTTTTCGATTTCACAAACTATCACTTTTTTTCGACCGAATTTCAAGAAAAGTTATGAATATTTTTGAAGCTTCCTTGAAACAGCAATTTCAGATATGAAGACGTCCAGCATCGTCGGGAGTCCGACCGCGAAAAGATCAACCAATGGACGAATGCCATTGCTGATGCTCAATCTGAGCTCGAGATGCTCCGCGCCAGGTGAGGAGCCATTTAAGGGTACTTTGTGCGAAGTATCAGGTTGAAAGGGGCTACTTAAGGATTTTTTTTTTCTCTCGAAGAATTAGGTTTTACAAAGTCGTAAGGGGCCACTTAAGGGTTTTTTCTCTCAAGGAATCAGCTTGTATAAGGGACCACTTAAGGGGGCTTCTATTCAAAGTATCAAGTTTCAAGGGGCAACTTAAGGGTTTTTTTTCTCAAAGAATCTGTATAGGGTTTTCATTCACTACTGCTGCGTTCAAAGCTTCTTTGAACAGAAATTCAGATTCACGGGTTTTCTCCAGGGCTCCTAAGTACTCTTAAGTGACCTCTTCAACCTAATTTGTCGCATTACCTCAAACTTAAACGGGGCATAAAGATTCAAGCAGTTTTTTTTAAACCATGATTCCAGAAGCAAAAAAAAATGACTTTCCTGCTTCAAAGGTTATCCAAAACTATTTTTGATCCACTCAGATTATTCTGAAAAACGCGCAAAATGAGCTTCATATGGAGATTCTAGAACATGATTTTTCAAAAATCAAGGTTCTATGAGCGTCAATAATTTCTTTTTTCCAAAATTTCCCCGTTTCAGGTCTCTTCCTTAAGTTCTTTAGAGTCAAGTTAATGAATCCCAAAAAAAAAATCCCATTCCCAAGTGTCCACTCAAGGGATCTAAAACTATAAAAAAGCGTTTCAGATACAAGCAGCTGACTGAGGAGGAGAAGCGTCTCAACAACGACAACGCTCGCATCTGGGAAGAGCTCCAGAAGGCCAGAAATGTACGAACGACGTCATAAAATACATCTAATGACGTCATTTGATCTTAAGGACCTCGACGAAGAGACCATTGGCCGCATCGACTTCCAGAACCAGGTTCAGACCCTCATGGAGGAGCTCGAGTTCTTGCGACGGTTCGTGGTTCGAGTCCGCTCGGCGTTTTTGCCATTTTTTGCCAATTTCGACAATCCATTCGAGCTTTTGTAGTGTTTTAAGGAGTAAATTCACTAGAGGGACTACTTCAAAGTCTTGAAAAGGGTTCCTGGTTCGAGTCCACTCTCCGTTTTTGTCTTTTTTGCCATTTTTTTAATCTCCTGAGGGAAAAATTCACTAGAGGGACTACTTCAAAACAAGTAAGTAGGTTCTTGGTTCGAGTCCTCTCGGCGTTTTTGCCATTTTATTTTTACGAATTTTGACCATCAATTCGAGTTTTGTATATATTGATAAATTTACTAGAGGGAATTCTTTGAAGTCATGAAAAAGGTTCTTGGTTCAAATCCGCTCGGCGTTTTTGCCATTTTTTTGCGAATTTTTTCGGTTGATTAGAGCTTTTATACTGTTTTAAGAGGCAAATTCAATAGAGGGACTACTTTAAAGGCTCGAAAAAGGTTTCTGGTTCGATTCCGCTCGGTTTTTTTTGTCTTTTTTGCCATTTTTTTTCAATCTTCTAAAGCGAAAATTAACTAGAGGGACTACTTCAAAACAAGTCAGTAGGTTCTTGGTTCGAATCCGCTAGGCGTTTTTGCTTTTTTCGAAAAAAAAACCCCTGTTTTACTAGGATTTGAATTGATATATATGCCAGGAAGACCACTTTGAAGCTTTAAAAAAGGTCCCTGGTTCGACTCCGCTCGGCGTTTTTTTTATTGAGTGGAAGTTTTTGATATTTTTGTCCGCAAAAATTTCATTATAGTCTAACGGTTCTTCTTATCAACTTTTATGACATTAAAAATCGATGTGGCCACTTAAGAGCTTGAAAATAGGTTCCTGTTTCGAGTCCACTCGGCGTTTTTGCTGTTTTTGCTAATTCTAGGTAATTCTTATTTTTGCAATTTTCTTCCCAACTTTTTTTCTTCCAAAAATTTTCTCTAAGCAAACTCAAAGTATACTCTGATCTATTCTCAGTGATAAGGTAAAAGTTCATTTTTTTTTTCCCCAACTTGCCGCCAAAGAAGCTTAGGGGAGAAGAAAAAACGCTTTCTAATCGCCTTTTCTTCAAGTTTCTGTGTTTGTTCAAGGTATCAAGTAGAAATTCCTCCAACATTTTATCTTTTTCTTCGCTGTTCTGTAGTGACAAAAAGAGAGAGTTTTAGTGTGAGAACTTGATCGAATCAACCGAAATCAATATCTATTCTCTAGAAATAAAATCAACAAGGCATTTCATCATTTTTCACCAGAGAGCAATTTTTCGAGAAAAGTTGGCAAATTATACATGAATAGAAAGATTTTTGTGACAAGAAAAACTTTGGTGACAACAGAAAAAAATTGAAATTTGAAAGAAACGAAAAAAAGCGAAAATCCGAAAAAAATGGCGAGTTTTGTCCATAGAGCAACTTTACTGCAAAGCGCCCTTTTGGCGGGAACTCAAACTTTCCTTTCTCCGACTTTGAATTATTTTTTCTTTAAAACTAGGAAGTTCGGTACGTTTCCAAGTTCACCGTTCGATTCGCAATGAAAAACTCTACTAAGTACTGCTTTGAACTGAAACACCGTTTTTTACTGCCCCTATGCCTTTAAAAAGAGAAAAAACTAATGGTTGCTAAACCATTTTTTCTTTTTCAAATGGTTCAGCAACCATTATTTTGTTCAAGCTCAAAACTAGCCAAAATCACAGTTTCAGAGTGAAATTAAACCGCTCGAATAAAAATTTTAAGCAATTAGTTAGTATGGGCAAGAAATAGTTTAAAAAAATCGTATTTTTTCAACAAAACCAGCGGTTTTTACGGTATAAATTGGCTCCTTCAGTACCTTTCCGAACAAATTCATTTTTATATTGGAAAAAAATCGCTCTAAAAATCATCCCAATCTCTAGTTTCAACTCGAAAAAAATCCCATAGAAACAGCAAAATTTTTTTGAATAAATTAAAAAAATTCAGCTAAGAAATCAATTTTTCATTTCAAGTGTTTATTCGCCATTCCGCAATCAGCACGACAAATACAAAAAAAAATAAAACATCAAAACAATCAAATAAATCTAACATCTGATCTGTGGAAACGGCTGGAGGAAAAGATTGTCTGAATAGACGGTGCTAACCCGTTCGAAAGAAAAAGAGATTTAATCTGAAAAAATTCATTAATTGGCGGTTTTTGAATGAAATAAGCTGAATTTAGGTTAGAAACTTGCTTAATTTTGTGAATAGATCATCGAAGGTCAGAATGTGACTAAAAAAAATGATCGAATTCGAATCTAAGCTCAAAATTCTTTTTAAAGCTCACAAATAATCATTTTTTTAAGCTTCAGCTTCAAAAATCCATTGAAAAACCTTGAAAAACATAAAATCGAAGCTTTAGCCCTGAAACTTCATTAAAAAAACCCTATAAATCATCAAAAATTCGAAGATTTAGCCTCAAAACTTGATTCAGAAGACCCTAAAAATCCTCAAATTTTGAAGCTTTAGCCTTGAAAATATATCAGAAAACTATAAAAAACGTCAAAATTCGAAGCTTTTTGACATGAACTTCATCCAAAAGCCATAAAAAAAACATCTAAACTTAATTCAAAAAACCCAAAAAACGACAAAATTTGAATTTTAGCCTTGAAAATTCATTGAAAAACCCTAAAAATCATCAAATCTCAAAGTTTTAACCTTTGAAACTTCATCCAAAAGCCATAAAAAACATCAAAACTTGATTCAAAAAACCCAAAAAACGACAAAATTTGAAGCTTCACCCTTGAAACTCTACAAAAATCTACCCGAAAAATCATCAAAATCATTTTCCAGTGTCCACGAGCAGGAGGTCAAGGAGTTGCAAGCTCTCTTGGCTCAAGCCCCAGCCGATACTCGCGAGTTCTTCAAGAACGAACTTGCTTTGGCCATCCGGTCAGTCTAATCATCAAAGTAATCAATAAATCGATAAGTTTCTAGCGATATCAAGGACGAGTACGACTACATTGCTAAGCAGGGCAAGCAGGACATGGAGAGCTGGTACAAGCTCAAGGTATGAAAAATACTTCCAAAACTCGAAAAATCTGCCTCGAGACCCTTTTTTATTATTTCTCTCAGGTCCCTCGAAAATTTTCAAGTTCAGATCTTCACTATTTGCTCATGTGTAGGTGGAGGGAAAAGAGAGGGACACAAAAAAAAGTGATAAGAAAACGATAAAGATTAGTTGATTCAACTTAGAGTTGTGGAATTTGCTACGCTCAGAGTTTTAAAATCAAAAAAAAGAAAAATGGCAACTATTAAGGGTTAAAAGTGACGTCACGGCATGCTGAATGACGTCATTAGGAAGAGAAATAATAATAATTAAACTATAAATTTCTTAGAAAAAAACATTTTTTTCGAAGCTCGATATTTTTTTCAGTACCAAGAAATGCTATGCTTGAAAAAAATTTTAGGAAAAATTCGGAGGCAATTAGTTAAAAAAATAATGACGTCATAATTTAAAAAAATAGATGACGTCATCTTTGACAAATGAATTTAAACTAGATCCGATTTTCAAAAAAATTCGTCTAAAAATAAATCTAGAAAAATTATGACGTCATTAAAAAATTTAAAAAAAAGAAGGCGACATGATCGATTTGATCAAAAACTCGATTAGGATCGGAATAGCTACAAAAAAATGACGTCATTAAATTAAAAATGATGACGTCAGAAATATATTCTTAATAAGTTTTGAACTGCTAAAATATAGTTAGTGTGTAGAAATTTTAACTAGAAGCGACAGAAAAAAATAATGACGTCATAATTTAAAAATTGATGACGTCATCATCGACAAATCAAGTGAAACTAGATCCGATTTTCAAAAATGCGCCGAAAAATAAGTCTAGAAAAATATGACGTCATTAAAAGTTTGAAAAAAGGCGACATCAATAAAAAAATTTCTAGTTGACCAAAAAGCGTTGAGAATCTCAAACCTAAAAAAAAGTGACGTCATTTAAATAAAATAATGACGTCAGAAATTAATTCTTAATAAATTTTAGACTGCTAAAATACAGTTTGAGTGTAGAAAATTGGGCCAGAAGCGACAGAAAAAAATTATGACGTCACTCTGAACCAAAGTGACATCATCAACCACATGAATGACGTCATAATTCCAGGTCTCCGAAGTGCAAGGATCGGCCAACCGTGCCGCCATGGAGTCCAACTACCAACGCGAGGAGGTCAAGAGAATGCGCGACAATATCGGTGACCTCCGGGAGAAGCTCGGTGGCCTCGAGAACAAGAACGCCCTGCTCGAGAAGGAGGTCCAGAACCTCAACTACCAGGTATTCGGGAAGAACTGGGAAGTGATCTAAACGTGACGGGGGTTCAGCTCACCGACGACCAGCGACAGTACGAAGCTGCGCTCAACGACCGCGACGCGACCCTCCGACGAATGCGCGAGGAGTGCCAGACCTTGGTAGGGCTTTTCGGGTTTTTTACGGGAGGTTTTGGGGTTTTGGAGGATGACTACTGACTTCTAGGTATCCTATGTGTATCGGAACACTAAAAAAGGTCTAGTAAGCTTCAGGAAAATCAAAAAAAGCTCGAATCTTTCGCGGTTGGTAAGGCTTTTTGAGATTCTCACCGGGGACAGTTAGCTTCTATTTTTTTAGAGGATGAGTACTAAATTCCCGAAACTAGATTTATCGGAACACTGAAAAAAGGTCCAGTAAGCTTCATGAAATCGGCAAAAGTTCCAATTTTTTGCGGTTAGTAAGACTTTTAGAATTTTTTCGTGACGAAAGTAATTTCTGAGTTTTTTAGAAGATGAGTATTTAATTTTAGGTGTTCTAGGTGTCCTAATATTGAAAAAAAAGTCTAGTAAGCTTAGGAAAATCAGCAAAAGTTCCAATTTTTGCGGTTGAGAAGGACTTTTCGAGATTCTCACCGGGGACAGGTAGCTTCTGTGTTTTTTAGAGGATGAGTACTGAATTCCTGAAACTCTAGATTTATTGGAACACAAGAAATCGAAAAAAGTATTAAACTTTTGCGGTAAAAATCAAAAAAAGAAATGTCGAAAGTTTTCAAAAATTCCAACTTGATCTAGAGGTTGTTGGTCATGAAATTTTCCAGCTTTTAAATTTTCTAGGGGAAAAATTTGGAAAAAGTTCAGATTTTTAGGCTTTATAGGTTCCCAAGGATGTAAACCTTATTCGGTTGGAACTTCGTTCTTTTTTTCTAGTAGCTTCAGAAGGACCTAAAAACGGCCCATAAAACTTAATCTGGCGGTCTTATCTAGTAAATTCCCTTTTTTTTCAGGACATTAATCGGATTTTGGTCACCCCTAGTTCTATTATTAAGTTATCTATTGATAAACCTATCAAAGATCTCAAATTTCTCAGGTCGCCGAACTGCAAGCCCTGCTCGACACCAAGCAGATGCTCGACGCCGAAATCGCCATCTACAGGAAGATGTTGGAAGGAGAGGAAAGCCGGTGAATATTTTTTCCGATTCTTATCAGTTCCTTCCGCTCTAATCTACTATCATCGAAAATGTCATTTGGTTGAAAACGTGGCATGGAAAACAAATAGAAAGTTTGGTTTCACTGAAAAATTACTTTTTTCGAAGCGAGTCCAATTTTCGAAGAAAGTTTAGCCATGGAGCACACAAGCTGCAAAAAAAGCGGCGATTTCTTCTCGGATGTCTTTTTTTATGCAGATCCTATTCAAAATAGCATAAAATTCAGCTACTGAAAATCAACGAAAACCTAGCGATTTCGAATAAATTCTAGCCATGGAGCACACAAGCTGCAATAAATGCGGCGATTTCTTTTCAGGTGTCTTTTTTTATGCAGATCCTATTCAAAATAGCATAAAATTCAGCTACTGGAAAATCAACAAAAATTAAGCGATTTCGAAGAAAATTTAGCCATGGAGCACACAAGCCGTAATACATGCGGCTATTTCTTCTCAGATGTCTTTTTTTGCATAAAATTCAGCTCTTTTCTCAAATAGGCTATAGAAAATGTGGAAAATCTGACTACGTGGGCAAGTTATTAACAGAAAACAAAAAAGGTACAAAAAAAGTCGATTTTCAACCTACAAGGAAAATAATTTCATTTCAGGAACTGCTTGAAAATCTGTCAGAACACACTTTAGAGTACCAAAAAAGGATTCTAAACGCCTTAAGCTGCGAAAATTCCTAGTTTTTGAGAAACGAGGGCTTGGAGTCAAAGAAAACCTTCAAAAAGGCCATTTTTGGGGGCTTCATGCCCTTATTTCTTGAAAACAAGGAAGGTGTGCAGATTGAATTTGGTTCTGTTGTGACAGATTTTCATGCAGATTTTGTTCCAAATTAGCTTAAAATCAAGCTTTTTTTTCGCAAATAGTCTTCAGAAAATGTTAAAAATCTAACAACGTGGGCAAGTGATTAATAGAAAACAAAAAAGGTACAAAAAATTAGTTTCAAGATCTAGAAGTGTAGACAAAAATAAAGTCAAGCTTCAATTTGAGGAAGCTCTAAAATGGAACTCCAAAAAGACGCCACAACACTTTCTCTGACATACACTATTTCTTCATTTTCTCGCAGCAGATAACGACGAAATAGTGTGTGTCAGAGAAAGAGTTGTGGCGCCCTTTTGGCGCTCCATGTCAGAGAGCGAGCATTGACCTTAAATCAGAATGATCCCATGAATCCCGAGATCGAACTTGGGACCCTTTGAACCGTAGACAGGCACACAACCTGTTGCGCTACGACGCCATTTTTTATTGATTTATCAAAGTGCCGCTTTTCCAGTGTGGGACTTCGCCAGATGGTCGAACAGGTCGTCAAGACGCACTCCCTGCAGCAGCAAGAAGACACCGACTCGACGAGAAATGTTCGCGGCGAGGTCTCCACGAAGACCACCTTCCAGCGTTCCGCTAAGGTTCCGACTCTTTTTGAATAAATTCTAGGGATCAAGGTTTTTTCCAGGGTTTTAGAGAAGTTAGTTGATGTTCTAGAAAAGTCTTTGAATTATCATGATGGGAAGAAACGATTTTTACAAAAGATTTTTTGGAAAAATCATAAAAAAAATTGAATTTTTCACATGAGAAATGGACCCTAAATTCACATGTTAAAGTGTAAAAACCCCCTTTTTTCACTTTTTCAGCTCTTATGACTGAAAAATTGCCACCTTTTCCTCAAATTCTAGTCAAAATTTGAACCCTTATAGCATTTCTAATAGACTGTCCCACAAGAAAAATTCAATCGAAAAAAAAAAATCCTGACTCATCAAACAATTTCCTCGCAAACTAATCTCCCTTATCAATATGTCAACTAGTACTCTTCAATTTGGAGGCTGAGTCATTTGGAAAAAAAAAATGATAAGGTTGAGATTTTTCGGGAAAGGAAGGATGACTAATCAATAATCGATCGATTTTCCAGGGCAATGTGACGATCGCCGAGTGCGACCCCAACGGCAAGTACATCACTCTTGAGAACACCCACCGAAGCAAGGTAATTAATTAATTAAATAATTAAGGTAATTTTACATCAGTTGGATTTTAGAGATTTTATATGAAAAAATTCAAGCTTCTATCTCATTTTTAGGAGTTTTTTCTGTTCAAAAATCATTCCCAAGGACTGAAAATCCTATAGGACTTGAAAAAATACAGTAAGCGGCTTTTCGCCTCGAGACCTTCAAAAAACATTTACCTATGCTCCTTCAAAAATTTTTGAACATAAGGAGATCTAATCTTAAATATTCGCCTCGAGACCTCCAAAAATAATTCGCCCATGCTCCTTTAAAAGATTTTGAAAATAACAAGATCTAATCTTAACTATTCGCCTCGAGACCTTCAAAAAACATCTACCTATGCTCCTTTAAAAGATTTTGAGCATAAGGAGATGTAATCTTAAATTTTCGCCTCGAGACCTTCAAAAATAAATCGCCCATGCTCCTCTAAAAGATTTTGAACATAAGGATATGTAATCTTAAATACTCGCCTCGAGACCTTCAAAAATAAATCGCCCATGCTCCTCTAAAAGATTTTGAACATAACAAGATCTAATCTTAACTATTCGCCTCGAGACCTTTAAAAAACATTTACCTATGCTCCTTTAAAAGATTTTGAATCTAATCTTTCCATTTTCATCTTAAATTGAAGCGAGAATGTACTCAAAACGCGTTTAAACACTGTTTACGAGCTTTCTACAACTTCTTCCATTATTTCTCTTATCAATCCAATGTCAAAGCTTCTTTCTTATCAACTGGAATTAGGCAATAAAGAATAGAAATTGATAAGTTTGTAGTAAAAACCAAGCGTCATCTTTGTTGCCATTGGAGTTGAAAATGTCATTTTTTGGGAGGTCGGAAGTTGGATTGAAGCTTCAAAGACTATTTCTATTGATGCTGAAGCTTAGGGACAAAAAAAACATAGGAAAAAGGGTTTTGGATTTATTTTAGTCGGGAAAAGAAGCAAAAACTTGTTTTAATCGATTTTTAGAAAATATCTATGAACGCTTAAGATCTCCTGATAATATCAAAATATGAAATTTCAGTCTTAAAAACTCGTAATTTCTTTTTGAAGCTAGTTAGAAGAGCTTGAATGTCTTGAAAATCTCAAAATCTGTCGAAAAATTGCTGAACTTAGGACGAGAACCTCGGCGAGCACAAGTTGAGAAGAAAGCTCGACAACCGCCGCGAGATCGTCTACACCATCCCAGCCAACACCGTCCTCAAGGCCGGCAAGACCATGAAGGTTGGTTTGAAATCGGAAAAGGGTGATAAGACAATATCAGATCAAACGAAGACAGGGAGAGTCAGGTTGAAAAGTTAATAAAAAAATCGGAAGACTTGGAAAAGTCCCAAAAAGTTTTTATTCACATGAGGCTGGAAAAAAATCAAGAAGGTTCAAAAAAAAGAACTTTTTTTGACTTTTTGACACTTTATTCAAAAATTCTCTTTAGTACATCGATTTTTCGGACCACGAAGCGTTGCAGTAATAGATTAAGGTTCAAAAAAATATAGGGACAGATCCAATCAATTATATTAAAAATTTTTCTTATCTTTAAAATTCAATAATGATTTTTCTAAATGCAAGGTCATGCGTTGTAGCAGGCAGAAAGAGACATTTTTTTAATAGTTATGATTATTTTAATAGTTTCATGGCTTTCAGGAATTCTCAGTACCTTACTTCAATAGTCCCGATATCATCAATTTATTACAGATCGATCTTTAAACTTTTTCCGAAACCGCTACTTGAAGAATTATATTTTTAATTCTTCCAAAACCATCATTTTCTCCCAGATTTATTCTTCAAATTCTTCCAAAATTACCACTTTCTAAAAGTACTTTGAAATCCATCCCTTTCTCAAAAATCTATCTCCCAATACTTCCAAAACCACTAATTTCCTTGCAGATCTACGCCCGCGAGCAAGGAGGCGTCCACTCGCCCCCAGATTCGCTCGTCTTCGACGGCGAGAACACCTGGGGCATCGGCGCCAACGTCGTCACTTCCCTCGTCAACAAGGACGGCGAGGAGCGCGCCACGCACACCCAGAAGACCCTCCAGACCGGACAGTAGATGTTCAAGTCGGATCGATAATGCTCATGTTCGTTTTTGGGCCTTTTAAAAAGCATATGAAGGGTTAGAAAGTCAGTAAAATATTCGAACAAATGAATTTTTTCAATCTATGGATTCTGAAGCTTCTGAGTCGACTTTTCTTTGAGGAAGCACAAAAAGGATTTTCTCTTTTTAATGCTCGGAACATTTTTAGTGGTCACTATAGAGGTTCGCCAACGACTACTTGTAGAGGACACTGAAGTGACCACTAAAACCACCTCTATAGTGGCCACTATTTTCTGTTTTAGTGGCCACTATAGAGGTTCTCCACTTAGTGGCCACTTCAGTAGTTTTTCATCCAGCATTCCTTCCAGTAACCCTGATAATTTTAAAACAAACAGATTGGACCAATTATGATGATACATTGACCCCTAAAGTGACCACTAAAATTTTTAGTGGTCTAGTAGTAGCACTTAGATCTCTATAGTGGCCACTGGTTTTTGACCTCTTAAGTGGCCATTAAAACGTCGAAACCCTAGAGTGGCCACTAAAAACTTTCTCACTACATTAAAAATTTTTTTTTTCAGACCGACCAACTTCGCGCGCCTTGTACTCCCCCCACAGCAATCTCTCTTCTCCCAACTTGTCCCAATTTTCCCCCTCCAATTTATTGAAAAATAAAAACAGCTCACTGCCCTTTTAAAGTGACCAAACCTTTAATCTTTCCCGAATTCTGAAAGATTTTCACCCAAAAATAGTCATCGAAAAGAAAATTCATAATAGTCTCAAAAAAATCTTTAAAAAAAGACCCCAAATGTGCTCATTTCCTTTTTTTTAAGTATTTCTCAAAAAAATCCAAAAAAATTTTTTCAAAAAAAACTGCCTTTTTTGTATGTGTTGCAAATGTACCCCCATCTCTCTATTAGCCCTTTTCTGCTAGTTTCTTTCATTTTTCAAACCTTTTTTTATTGCGGTAATAAAATTTTCGTCATTGATTTTGGTGTATTTTTTTGGCGGGAAATAATGAAAATACATCAAAATTACAAAATAGTAAAAAAATAAACTTCCGAAAAAGAGGCCTATTCAATACTAAAAAAAGAAAAAAACTTCTGAGAAAAAAATTGCTCATTTTTTTCTAAATTATTCTAAAAAAATCTTTGAAAAAAATTCAATAAAAAAACCTCTTAAAATTATTTAAAAAAATTAATTTTTTTGTAAATTCCTGCTCTTTTTATTTTTTTGGAAGTTTTTTTCAAGAAAAAGAAGTTCAGAGAATTTTTTTGAAAAAAATGGCCCGCGGGACCTAAAAATTCATGAATTACCTTGAATCTTTAATTAAAGGGAAAAAAATTTGAATTTCAGAAATTATTTTTTTGAATAACTTTTTAAGTTCCGATTTCTCACTGGTCAGCTTTTTTTCAATTACTTAATCAAGAGGAAAAACCGAAAAATAGCAAAAACCGAAAAATTCAGCAAAAAAACGTGAAATGTTTCAAAAAAAGTCTATTGATCAAATAAGGTCCTCTGTTTCTCAATTTTCCTTATAACAAAAAAAAAATCGTTTTTTTCACTTCTCTCTGATTGAACTTCCGATAAAAAAATTGATTTTAGTTCAAAAAAACTTCAAAAAAATTTTTTTTGCCACAGTACTGAATTTTTTTGATCGGTTGGCGCGCCACTAAAAATAATCATAACTTGGCTCAAACTCAATATTTTTTTCATTAATTAAAGTTTTTTTTGGCTATTTGGCGATGTGTTCCATCGGATGATATGATTTTTAGTGAGAAGTTTGCAGATTCTAAAAAAATTAATTTTGGTCCCGAGATAAACTCAATAAAAATAACCTCCTAAAAAAACTCATTCAAAAAAATCTGTCAGCTTTAAAAAAACCGCTTTCTAATCATAAACCCACTGGAAGAACCGTCTAAAAGCTCAATTCGAAAAGATTCTAACAACTGCAAAAATGGCCTCTGCTGATTTTTTTCACCTTATAAAATAACCAACCAAAAATGCATTTAAAAAAATCAGTTCCGGAAAAAAGCTCGATCAGACAAGATTCTCTGTTTTTCCATCTACCTCAAGATTGCTCTCCAAACTTTGACTCATCTAAAACTCCTAAAAAGCCTCCTGCTGACCATACCGGATGAAAGAACCTTCCAAAAGTTCATTGCAAAAAGTCCGCCCCCAGGAAAAAAAAAAACGAGGAAGGACCTGAAAGTGTGTGGAATTCGATACCAACTAATCACCCGTCGACATTTCCAAGGCGAGAGAAACATAAACATGCAGCGAGAGAGTATTCCTCGCTGGTGCACTGATAAAAATCCAACATATAAAGTTGGGACGAGCTGATAAGGCCCTCCTGAGTCTCTTGCGAGAGCCAACCTTTTTGTCCCATCCAACTGCAAAAATGGCGACCAGCTATCGCATGACCACCACCACTACCACCACCTCCAGCAGGTCTCAGCATGGTCAGTCTCTTTTTTTGAATCCAAAACTAACTAGACAATATTTTCACCGCATTTTTCCGAGTTATGGAGCTTCAAAGTACACAAACTATGACAAAAAAAGTAAAAAAAATTTTCCTAGTAGAATAAAAATTAGCCATTATTGGGGTGCTAGAGAATCAGGTTTCCTCCACCCAACAAGGAATTTTTTCCAGCCTTGTATTAAATTTTTCATGAACTTTTCCTTTCCCAAAAGTTTATAGTCCGTTCACGCCGACTTGAAAGCTTTCGAGTGTCTGCGTCTCTCTGTTCCCTCACACAGTTTTTCTTTCTCGACTTGGAGGACTTCTCTGCGCCCTCCTCGTCTCTCAGCAGTGCCTAAGACTTGTTGAATCCTCCAGTTCCTCATTCTATACTCGGACGACTCCAGGGATCACTTAAGGGTGCTGACGCTACTAAAGTGGTCACTAGAAATTCCCAGAAACGTCCTGAGCACGTTCGTTTTGCGTTAACAAAGTGAAAGTGCGGGACTTCTCTGCGCCCTCCTTATCTCTCGGCGGCCCTCTTAAGTTGACGTTCTATTTTCAATTTTTCTCGCCGGTGAGGGAACGGAGAGACGCAGACACTCAGAAATGCTTTCAAATGTTTTTTTTTTATAGTTTACTGATTTTGAAGCGTCATAATTCAACTAAAACGCAAAATTCTGGATCTTTTTTTTTTGTAGAGTTCTATTAGCTCGAAAAAATTATTTATCCAAAAAACTCACTCCGGAATTGTATTTTTGAGCTTCTTAATGGCTCATTTTTTGTCAAAACACTGTTTTCGTACTCATCTCTTACCTATTACTCATTTTATAGCGTTTCCTTTGCTTTTCTTAACAGTTCAAAATCAAATTTAAAAAGAAGGTATAAAAAAATCAAAAATCTTCCTAATAGTCATTAAAAATTGCTTCAATTTTTCAAGATTCCATTTTAACTTATCTCCTTTTCTCAGCTTCATTTTCATTTTCTCTTCAAATTTCACCTTGAATTTTATCAATTTCTCAACATAATCTTCAATCGCTTTTTGTTTATGCAAGCCCTGTTTCCTTTCATTTTTATTTTCGATCTCTATTTTCTTATCATTTTCTTGTTGTTACTTTTGGCTTTCTTCAGAACCCTAAAAATTGGTTTTTGGTCTTTTGAAAGCGTTTCAAAAAGATTTTCAGACAAAAACAAAATATGCGCCAATGATGAGCATTAGCGCATTTTTGGTGCTGGCGTCTAAAAATATTTCCGATTTTTTTCACAATTTTTTTCTGTTTTCTTCAAATTCGTTGATATTATTTTTTTAATTGTATTCTAATTTTTTTCGTCAAAATATTATTCCAAAAATCTGTAACGATTTTTTTGTTCAATTTTCTGAGAAAAATAACTTTGTATAGTATCAAAATGTTTCCATTTTTTTCATCAAATTTTCAAAACTACCTTCTAAAAAATTCGAAAGGATCCTTTTTTTATTTTTTTTTATTTTTTATTGAATTTTTTGAGCCTAAACCGATTTCAGGCGCTGAACTTATCGGCAGAGAAGCTACGGCTTTCGTTGAAGCGACTGAGCGCGAAAAGAAGGATCTTCAGGTTATCTATTTTTGATTTTTGGTTAAATTCTCCAAATTTTCAAGCTGTCTAATATTCTCAAAACGCTTCAAAGCAAAAAAAAAGACAATTTTTAATTTTAGGAGCTCAACAGCCGCTTGGAAATCTACATTGGGCGAGTGAAGCAGCTCGAAATTGCCAATCGCGATCTCGTCCAGGAGCTGGACGAGCTCCGCAGCCGGCTCGGAGGTGAAGTCGGACAGGTTAAGGTGAGCTCGAGAGTTTTTTTCAAGAGGAAAAAAATGTACTTTTTAGAGTTAAATTTGATAGAATAAATGGGAATTTAAGAACGAATTAGGCATTTTTTGGCCTTTATTCGCATTTTGATCAATTTTAATGTGTTTCAGAACGTTTCTAGGTCTTAAAAACAATTAATAGTTTTACAGAATATGAGAAAAAAAGGTTTATTTTTCTTCAAAAAAATCATTGAATTTGAGCTTGTATAGAAAAAAATTTTTTTATTTTTCAAATTTTTTTATAGGAAAAAAATAGATTTTTTTGGGGGGTTTCAAAAAAACGAATTTTTGGACCATTAAGTTGACTGGAAACCCAAAAACTTAATTGAAAAATGATGTGATTTGAAAAAAACAGAAAAAAATAATAAAAAAATCGGGAAACTTTTTGACGCCAGCACCAGAAATGCGCCAATGCTCATGCTTGGCGCATATTTTGTACGCTCTAGTGATTTATTGAACTTGGACTTTTTTTAAAGAAGGAAAGACTGAAAAATAGTCAAATTCATCCCAGGAAAGTATAAAAATGCTTTTTGAACCATTTTCGAGACAAAAATGATATATTTTTGATTTTCAAAACAACATTGCTTATTCAAAATAAGGATTCCATGAATGTTTTCATACTTCTTTCAATTTTCTTAATTTTGAAAAGATTCATGTTCCAATTCTTCTCAACCACATTTACTTTTCGAATGATAAATCTTTTCTTTCACTGATGACGTCACTTTTTGAACTTAAAAAAAATCGAAAACTAAGCTTAAACCTTCCCTAATCTTAAAAAATTTTCATTTTCTTCCCCGTGACATCAGACTCAAGGCTTAAAAAATCCCCCGCAGTTCATTGGAACCTTGCCATTGGCATTTGATAACAAAACGTTGAGTGGTTTTCCTTCTCGTTATCATCCGAAAATCACTTGGAATTCCCTTTGTTTGGAAGTTGGCAGGGTCTCGTACTAGGAAAGACTTTTTGATAAGGGGCGCCTTAATGACGGCTCCAAAGAGTCGTAAAACGGCATTACTAGAGCCGATTTGCTTCTTTGTCACTTTGTAAGTAGATAAGCAAAGCGGAAGGAATTTTGCTGTTTCGAAGATAAGTTAAACAGGAGGCAATACAAGATGGGGGAATGAAAGAGACAAATGTTTGAAGGGCCAGGGGACTTTGGTAATAATAATTTACTGTCGGATCAGTGTCAACCCCTAAAGAGCTCATTTAAATCTTAGAGATCAACTTTTCAAAAACGGTCAGAAAAAAAAATCTGTTTTCAAACATTGAAAACAGTGAAGTCACATTCTTAAGCTACGCCTATTTTTTTTTAGAGTTGCGGAATAAATTTATTTTTTGCAGTTAAAACAAGTTCGTCTTCATGAAAGTGCCACTGGATTAAAAATTAGAAAGCTCTTACAAATTTTTAAACTATTTATTTCAGGCTTTAATGCCAATTTTTTCCTTCTTTTTTTGTACATGTTATAATTTTTGTTCTGCCTGTAAATAAATTATATTATATAAACTAGTTTACGTGAAAAAATCCTTGTTGAACTTTCAAATTTTCAGACTTCAAAGCACGGATTTTTTTTAAAACCGCTTATTTATTCTTTTTCACCTTGTAGATGAAAAAAATTACTATTATTATTATTATTATTTGATCAATCTATTATGCAATTTTTCGACGCTGAAAGCTTTCTCTAGAAAAAAAGTGAGCGAAATAAACAGATAAAAAAATTCAAAACTTGGAAAAAAATCATTTTACCTACTTGGAATCTGAACTGTATGCCGTGTTCAATTTGATTCCGCGAAATGCAAAATGATCTCTGACTCTCCAAAATCTAGTGATCTTTTCCTTTCTCTAACGGGTATTTTGCATTTCGCGGATTCAAATTGAACACGGCAGTAGTTCATTCGAAAAATCCGCTTAATTTTTGAAAAATCTAATCAAATTCCTATCTTCACAAGGCAACTCTGAATTTTTGCATTTTTTTCCGAAAAATTTCCAAAAAAATATTTTTTTCTGAAATTTTTCTGAGGATTTAGAGACTTGGTAAGGCTTCAGAATCTCGTATAAAAACTTTGAATTTTTTTCTACTCCATAATTTTTTTCCCCCTTTCGTCTATAGTCTGTGCTTGAAGTAAGCCTGGCCATACGAAAAAAAATTCCAAACGCATTATCGGTGCGAGTTTGCTTGACAATGGCAAAGTCCTTATCGAGAAACCTGGACGATTTTGATACGTGGCGCCGCCGGCGCGACGTATAGCACGTAAACGATAAAACCGAAAGCGTTTTTACGCATCGAAGTTTGTTTTTGAGAAAGAAATAGGGGCTTCGAAAGTTTTTTGTTCTCAGAAAATGATGGGTTTTGCGGGAGTTGTACTATTTTCATATGAAAAAAAAATTTGAGGAGCAAAAATTAGAGATTTTTTTGAAGATTCGGAACCAATGAGTGAACAAATAACAGGATATTGTCGGAAAAAAACCATAAAAAGTATAGAAAAAAATTCAGTTTTTTTGTTTTCACCCAACATTTTAAAAAAATGATCAGCCATTAATTTATAACAGCCTGAGATAGATTCAATCCAAAAAAAGCCGAAAAAAATTCTAGAAAAATTAGATTTTTTTCCGGAGATTCAGAACCTAAAAAAATGAAAAAAATAACAGCTTCATGTCCGAAAAAAACCCTAGAATTATAGAAAAAAATTCCATTTTTTTATTGATCAGCAAGCCTCAATTTTTTTAGCAGTTTGAAAAAAATAATCAATAAAAAAAGCCAAAAAAATTCTAGAAAAATCAGAACTTTTTCCTGAAGGTTCGGAACCGAAAAAAATGGAAAAAAATAACAGTTTCTTGTCGGAAAAAAAGCATCAAAAGTTTAGAAAAAAATTCATTTTTTTATTGATCTATAAGCCTAAACTTTTTGGCAGCTCGAAAAATTTTCGATCCGAAAAAGCCAAGGATTCAAAAAATTAGAATCTGACCCCAAAAATATCTTCTTTTCAGTATAAAATATGTCGAAACGTTCAAAAATTGGAAATTTGGACTTCAAAAACTCCGAAAAAAAAAATCTTCCGATCAATAAAATAAACCTTTCTGCCAAAAATACGCCTAAAAAGCTCCTTATTTCCAGTACAAGTTCTCGGATTCCCTGAAAACGGCCCGCTCGAAAATCGCCGATGCCCACCAGGGAACCGTCGCCATCGAAGTCAAGGCAAACCGCCTTCGTCAAGACGTCGTCGACTACCGTAACCGGTATCGCTTCGAGACCCATTATTCCACAAATCCATGTTCCTTTCAGTTATGAAGACGCTCTGCGAGAGGCCAACCGTGAACGCGCCACTTGGGGAGCTTCGATTCACTCCGCCACGGCCGAGTTGGAGAGAAGCAAGTCCATGTGAGGAAAAGTAATAGGAATCGAGTTCATTGAGTGGTTTTCCAGGTACGCCTCGATCTTGGACGAGGAAAAGCGACTTTACGCCGAGCAGGAGCACCTCTACCGGGAGCTCGACACTGTCAAGGATGTGAGATTTAAAGAAAAAAAGACCAGGAAAAAATAGCCGTGGAAATCGCGCTCCATTGATAACAACAGTCTTTTGATTGAAGTAACAGATTTTTTATGAAAGTGTGAAGGAAATTTTGTCCGTAGAGCATTTTTGATTTTCATTCGCGGCTATTTCTGAAAAAAGCATCTTCATAGGAATTTATAGCGATTTTAGATGTGAGATTCCGTTAAAAATGAAAAAAAAAGACCAGGAAAAAATGGCCGCGGAAATTGCGCTCCATTGATAACAACAGTCTTTTGATTGAAGAAACATGAAAGTTTGAAGGAAATTTTATCCGTGGAGCATTTTTGACTTAATAAAGGGATTTTTTCGAGGCTATTTCTGAAAAATGAGCTTTTATAGCGACTTTGGCAAAATTCGAACCTATTTTTCCCTTGGAAGTGGTTTTGCAGCTTTTTTGGAGCCTTTACTATAAAAATATAGACTCAAACGATTCAAAAAAAAAAAAATCGTAACTAGGTCAAGAAAAAATAGCCGCGCAACTTTCAGGCTTCTTAGCTCTATTGATAAAATAACCGACCTTATGCTGAGGGATTCTAGAAGTGCAGTCCTTCGAACTAGACCCAAAAAAGCCGATTTTTGACTTTACACGAGTAAAATTTTGACTAATTTTCACAGTTTTGCCGCTTGAAACTTGATTTTCGATACTTAAAAAAGTAAAAAAATTTAAATTTCTGAGCTTTTCAAGCAAAAATGCGTTCCAGGAGCTCGACGCGGCCATTTCCGAGCGTCTCGTCCTCCAGCACCAGGAGGAGAACCTCAAGGCCGAGCTCGAGTTCCTCAACAGGTTTTGGATCTTTTCAGTCTTCAAAATGGTTTTTTCTCCAGAGTCCACGTCCAGGAGATCTCCGAGCTCCGCGGCCTGCTCAGTCAGGCTCCCGCCGACACCCGTGACTTCTTCAAGAACGAACTTGCTCTTGCTATCCGGTAAGGGTTGAAAAAGGCTTTAGAAGTAGAAAAAAAGACAAAAATGAGAAATGATGGTTCATTCAGTAGGAAATAAGAAATTCGAAAAAAAATCTCTCCCAACCAAAAATTCGAATTTTCACTTGTCAGAAGCTTTCAAGAAAGTTCTGGACCCAAAAATGAAAATTTATTTCCAAAAATGGGGCCTTGACGGTCAAGGAAAAGCTCAAAGCTTTTTTCCCTCTATTTTACAAAAACAGTGATTTTTTGGAGTCCAAAACCTCTGTGCTTTGAGCATTTTATTTATTTTTTTTAAAAAAATTAATCTGACTAAAAAAATCTTCGCTGAGAATATCAATACAGTACCGTCAGGAACGTTTTTTCTGATCAAAATTTTCTTGTACTGGGAACATTTTTAGTGGCCACTATAGGGTTTTGACGTTTTAGTGGCCTTTGTAGTAGTGAAATTAGTGGCCACTCAAGGTGTTAAAAACTAGTGGCCACTATAGAGGTCTAAGTGCTACTACTAGACCACTAAGTTGCCACTTTAGGGGTCAATGGGCCAATATAACTGGTCCAATGTGTTTTTTTTTAATTATCAGAGTTACTGTAAGGAATACTGACTGGAAAACTACTAAAGTGTCCACTAAATAGAGAACCTCTATAGTGGTCACTAGAACGGAAAATAGTGGCCACCTTAGTGTCCTCTCCAAGTAGTCCTTGGCGAGCCTCTATAGTGGCCACTAAAAATTTTCTCAGTATTGAGTTTGGTCTTCCTGAAACCTGGAGTTGTGATGACTGTTATTTTCAAGATTTTGGTGGACTTTTGGTTCGAATAAAAAAAAAACGCAGCTTTAAACGTATTTCAAAAAGATTACGAGAGAGGTGTTTTTTTCTGATAAAACTGACAACCTTTCAGTGAAATCAAGGCCGAGTATGAGAAGATCGTTCACACTACTCGCACCGACCTCGAGACCGTCTTCGAATCCAGAGTAAGTTTCATGAAAAAGTGAAAAAATGAACAGTAAGTTCAAAAAAAAAAATCTGGTTTGGAGCTGAAAAAATCTCGAAGCTTTATGCAGCTCCAAGCTTAAAATATGCTTCAGAAAACCTACATTTGGTATAAAAAGGCCCTTAGAATGACGCCAGGACAAAAAAACGAGCCAAAATTGACAACTGACTCGGGACCATTTTTGATATGTACCTATGCTCCTTTAAAGCCGTTTGACGTCGAATACGAAATTGAAAAGTCCGGATCTAGGATTTGCCACGAAAACCTGGAATTTCGTCTCGAGTCAAATCTGGATGAGAGATTTTCAAGAAAAACTGAGAATATTGTAAGGTTAAGAGTGTTTTTGAATGAAGAAGCTCAAAGTCCAGGTGAGCAACCAAAATGTTTCCAGGTTGTCGCTGCCGAGGCCGCCGCCGCCGCCCGCAGCGAGGTTTCCGTTCAGCGCCAGGCCGAGATCAGCAAGATGAGCGAGTCGATCGCCTCGCTCCGCTCCAAGTTCACGGACCTCGAGGCGAAGAACGTGGCCCTCGAACGCGAGGCCTACGCCCTCCAGAACCAGATTCGCGAGGACAAGCGCCAGTACGAGGAGGAGCTCAGCAAGCGCGACGCCGCCCTCGTTTTCATGCGCGAGGATTGCCAGAAGCTGGTCAGACACTTTGGACAAGTTTGATCAACGTCGTTTTTTTCCCGTTCAGGTGATCGAGTTGCAAGCCCTGCTCAACACCAAACAGACCTTGGACACCGAAATCGCTATCTACAGGAAGCTCGTCGAGTCGGAGGAGCATCGGTTCGTGACATTTTCGAGGCGTTTCTATAAAAAATCTTTCAAAATTATTTTTATTATTTCAAATCTTAAAATGAGTCTGTAGCGGTTTTGGCGAAATTTCGAGTTTGATCAACTAGTTTTCGTTCGGGAGCGGTTTCGCAGCTGTTTTGGAGCCTTTACTATGAAAATTCGTACTCAAGAAATAAAAAAAAATCGCAGAGGCCAAGAAAAAAATAGCCGCGCAACTTTTAGACTTCTTAGCTCTATTGATAAAATAACCGACCTTAGGTTGAGAAGTTCTCAAGTTACAGTTCTTCAGACTAGACCGAAAAAAAGCCAACTTTTGACTTTACATGAGAAAAAAATAATTTTAAAAAAAGTTGAAATTTTCGAGGCGTTCCTGACAAAAAAATACTTTCAAAATTATTTTTTTATTATTTCAAATCTCAAAATGAGTCTGAAAAAAATGAACAGAACTTTTATTGGAATCTTTAACCGTTGATAAATTGATAAAAAACTGAATTTTTGAAGTACCCCTTACACCCCAGTTTTTATTAATTTCTTCTATTTTTCTTCTTCTTCCTAGAGCGACTTATCAATTCTCAAGATCTCATTTTTGCCTTGATTTCGCTCAAAACCTTCATATTTCAATGAAATACGAGCCGTTTGATTTTTCTTGACGGTTTAGTTTGTCTCAGCACTTCAGATACCTAAAAAATTCAATTTTTCCTCAGATTTCTCAAAAAATTAGTTTTAGGTAAGAGTTTGAACTCCTTTAGATCTATTTCTTAAAACAGTTCAGATCCTTTGTTTCTAAGAAATTTTTTTTTTTTAGAATTAACTTTGAACTCTTTGGACACCTTAAAAGACCTTTTTTTTTTTTTACAAGCCCTTCAAATAATCTAGTTTGTAAGCGTTCACAGAACTTTTGATCAAATCCTTAAAGCGGTCCAGATCGCCTATTTTCTTAACCCTCCTTCCAAACCCTCCAACCTGACCAGATAACCGATTTTTTTCAAACAATTCTTTCAATTGAAATTCCGAATTTTTGTTTTTCAGCGTTGGACAATACGTCGTTGCCGAGAAGGAAAGCGTCTTCTCCGGTGAGGTCTCCACCCGCAGCACCTTCCAGCGCCACGCCAAGGTATTTATATTCCTTTTCACTTAATGCTTACAGAAGTGCTCACTCTAGGGATTTTAGTTAGCGCCCACTATAGGGGAACGTGCTATTTTTCGATTGTTATGACCTTTAAGAGAAGAAGCAGATTCATGGGGAAAAAATATGAATTTTTAACCCTAAACCCCTCTAGGGGATTTTTTTCTCTTACCACTCTAGGGACCCCTATGGCCTTTCTAGGACTCGTTGAATCCCTCCAATCGTCATTCTACACTCGGACGTTGGTAACGCGCAACGACCGTGCTTCTGGGCGACTCTAGGGATCACTTAAGGAGGCTGACACTACTAAAGTGGTCACTAGCAACACCCAGAATCGTCCGTTTTGCGTTACCAATGTTTGAGTATGTTAAAGTCCGTTTTTTACAAGTTTTACCCCTTTAGAGGCTTTTTTCTCTTACCACTCTAGGGACCCCTATGGCCTTTCTAGAACTCGTTGAATCCCTCCAATCGTCATTCTACACTCGGACGTTGGTAACGCGCAACGACCGTGCTTCTGGGCAACTCTAGGGATCACTTAGGGATGCTGACGCTACTAAAGTGGTCACTAGAAACACACAGAAACGTCCGTTTCGCGTTACCAATGTTTGAGTATGCTATAGTCAGTTTTTCGCGACTTGAAAATACTTCTCTGCGCCCTCCTTATCTCTCGACGTCTCTCTCATGTTGACGTGCTATTTCCATGTTTCTCTGACCTCGCCGGTGAGGGAACAGAGAGACTGTTTGGTCATATATTATGCTATTTATCTGTACAATTTTCTTCATTTCAAAGTTATATAACTTGCAGGGAAACGTCAGCATCGTTGAGTGCGAGCCGACCGGCAAGTACATCATCCTCGAGAACACCAGCTCCCGCGAAGTAACTTTCTAGAGAAAATCTAATGAAAATTTTGAAAATTATCCTAGAACGAAGACATTGGCGAGTACCAAATCAAGAGGACGATCGACGGCCGACACGCTTTCACCTACACCCTTCCCGCCCACACCAATCTCCGAGCTGGTGGCCATTTGAAGGTGAATTTCAAAGAAAACTTTGGGGAAAAAAAATTCTCTGCATTGGTCATTTCGAGCCAAAATATCCTTCTATACGAATAGTTTTCAAAAATAGAAAAAAAATGGTATATTGCTATCGAAGTTGAAAAAGTTAGGCCTTCTTTCAAGACGCAGTCTCCTTGAGTAAAAAATAAGAAAAAATTTGATCGAGTTATTCGAAGTAACATGATAATTTTTATTTTTAAATAAAGCTTAAAATGATTCAAAAGGTCTTTTGACTTTTTTGGTCTCAGTTTACGATCTATTCGACGTCTTGTTACTTCAATATCACTCCTCGATTGTTTAATTTGAGCTCAATTTGGTAAAGGAAAAAGACTTCTAAGAAGATGAAATGAAACTTTCCATACTCTGAGGAGCAAAAAAAGTTGAAAATAAGCTTTCTAGTGAAAATAACCTTCCATACACAACATTTTCTAGTCAAATTACTCATTTTTTCATGGATTAAAGCATCCGTCCAGTAGATTTTTTCAAACTTTGTGAAATATCGATACAAGACCTTTCGTAGGCGTTAACCGCAAACTCTGAAAAATGACATCTCCGAAAAATATTATTTTTTTCGCAGTTAAGACTATTCCTATAGATATTATAGTTTCCCGACTTGAAAGACTAGAGAAGCGTGAAGTGTTGCGTACGCGACGGCGTTTTGGTGGGGAGCCCGAGGTTCACCAGAAGCTACCAGTCTTCTGCCCTTTTTGACGGTTTTTCAATCCCTCAATGTTTTTTTATGGTCTTGGAAAGATTTGGTTGAACGGATCAAAGTACAAAAATAATAATAGAAGACTTATTTTTTCTAAATTGATCGATGATTGCGTTTGACCTCGGGCCATACAAGGGCAGACCATTTTTAAACAACTCTTCCTTCCAATTTTTGCTAAATAAAGGATAATACTGCCACCCTGAGGTCAAAACTTGTATCAATGTGTACAAAAATACCTCTCTGAGGCCTAAGCCTAATCTTTTGAAATACTCTCGGGCTAAATGAGTTTTTTACTTGCCCATCCATGCCTCGGGATACCGCTTAAAAGCCACGTCGCGTACGCAACGCTTCACTCTTGCCAATCTACTCATATCAAAACTTCAGAAGTCGTTTGAGCAAGTTTCAGAAGAATCTAAAATTTACAATAACCTTGTATTGAAGATCTCAACAAACCGCAAAAATTCTGTTCAGATCTACGCCCGCAACGGCGGCGGCATCCACTCGCCTCCCGAGTCGATCATCTTCGAAGGAGAACCTTCCTGGGGACAAGGAGCCAGCGTCCAGACCATCCTCTACAACCGCAGCCACGTCGAACGAGCTTCCCATATCCAAAAGACTGTCTCCCAATAAATTTCCCTATCCACCAACCATGTAATTACTCTTTTTTACTGTTCTACCCGCGTGCGGCTTCTTTCCTTCTTTTCTACAAACTGCCAATTGAATTACAAACTTTTTCTGGCATCTTCATTAGATATGCGATAAATATGTTGCATGTTGTCGGGGGATTTTTTTGAGGAGAAAAATTGAGGGTTTTCGTCAAGAACTTCATTATTACAGTGCAACTACGTGGAAAATGCAACCGTTTTTTTTAAAACATGATGCCAAAAATAACTCGAAAAACTGCTCTGAGAGCTTTGATTCGACTGGAAAGCGTCCAATATCCTGTTTTTAATGTTCAGCTAGAACAGTGCGACAAGCCTGAGACAGCCTCCGGAAATTAAGAAAGATGACGTCAACAACCTTGAAATATTGAAAAAGGGAAATTCTACTGTTTTGAAGAAGTTTTTGAAAGTTCTGACGTCACCTAAAAAGGCTACAGCCGCGTCATGAACCGTTTCAGCTAGATCGCAATTTCTGCGACTCACCAGCAGGTCAGCTAAGTTTCAAAGTTTTCATAACTGGTTTCTCCAACAGAAAGATTTCAATGAAGTTTGGGTAACTCACAAAAAAAAAGCACAGCCGCGTCACTGGGAGATTCTGCGACTCGGCTACAAGCTAGAACTTTTACTATTCAAGCTATTTTCTATTCAACAGTCGGAAAGCGAAATAATTCTTCAAAAATAGAGGAGAGGACTATGAGAATCAAAATCTTAGCCGCGTCACCAACCATCTCTGCGACCCGGCTATCGTATAACACTCACTAACCAAACTATTCTATGAGGTTCCCGTTCAAAGACTATCATCGGTATTTCAAAAAAAAAATGGCAACATAAGAAGACGAATTCTTAGCCGAGTCACCAACCATCTCTGGACCCGGATCTCTGGAGCTTTTACTTTCGGTTCCTCGGAAGGCTTTTTGAGGGCCTTTCCAGCAAGAGATCAAAAGCCTCACACAGAGCGTTCAACATATCTACTTACTTGCCTTCCAGTAGCTTGCTGGAAGGCTTCTGCCAGGCAATTCCGATTTTTTACCTTCCAAAGACGTTTTAACTACCTTCTGAACGCCTTTCCAAGGTCTCCTCAAGACCTTCTAGCTTCCATTCGCCTTCCATTCACCTGCTGGTTACCTTATAAACATCTTCCCAGGATTCCTCAGATATTCTTTAACCCTCCCTAGTCCAACTATTTCAACTTGCTTTTTTGTCAGTGGCCCCCATGAACCTTTAAAAAAAGTGCAACGGACAATAAGAACTCTAAATTTAGCCGCGTCACAAACCATCTCTGCGACCCGGCTATCATTCAACCCTCTTCCAACTATTTCAACTTGCTTCCTTTCCAGAGGCCCCCATAAATTCCTCAAAAAAAGCGGAAAGGACAATAAGAAGACGAGATTGCAGCTGGTTGGCGGCAATGGTCCGAGAAGTGGCGGTAGCCGTCTGAAGGCGACTCAGCGGCGAGTTCAAAGCGTCGTCTGAAGCCCGACGCGTGACGCGACGACAACGACGACATAAATCAACACACAGAGACACTGCCAAATATGGATCTACATACAGATTTGAAGTGTCGGTCGTCTCGGATAATTACAGGGTTGAGCCAAGGTGAAGTGTGTCCACGCGCGTTTTCCCTCATTTCCTATACCGTTTCTTCAAGTGTTTTTGTTTTTTTTTTTGCTCGATTCTGTTCCAAGTTTGGCCTCTTTAAGGGTTCCTAGATCAACAGGCCCCTAGAGAGACCACTTCTGAACTTCTCAGAAAGGGACAGTGAACTTTTAATAGGAGCTTCAAATATTTATCTCCCACTTTCCAACTTTTTCTTGCTGGTAGGCTCAAAAAGTGTCTGTAAATACTCAAAAGAGCTATACTTCGCCGTAGAGCGCACAATCCCCTATTTCACACGGCTATTTTCTCCAGGGCTCTTTTTTCACTGCAAACATAGTAGTGTTTATAGTGTGCTTTTATTTCACCAAAAAGTTCAAGTTTAAAAAAATCAAATATAATATTCTCAATAGATCCTCCTCATCAAGACCACCTTCAAAATAAGTCCGTTCCATCAATTTTTGAGCTCCATTTTTCCTGAATTTTTAAGCAGGTCTAAATTTAGATGTCCTTAATATCCTTTAAAATTCCCAAGTTTCCAACCCCTAACTTCTTACTACTAATCCACTGCTCATCCCATTAGCAATATCGAGCCGCCAAAATATTCCCGATCGGATTGATGTGCCGCCGACAGTCAGCGGGGTGCCGATACATATCAAATACTCATCTCTTTGCACGCTTCTCTATGCGGATTACTGTAGTCTATTGGGTCTAATAAGTCCAAAAAAAGAGCTTCGTTATAGGTAGTCTAATGTATTTGAAAAAAAAGACTTCTGATATAGTTCTAAACGTTCGACGCATTATTTATGGTTCTCAATGAATATACTGTAACTCTCAATAACATTCTGAGTTCACAAAAGTTTATAAATCTATGAAAAAGTTCAAAAAATCATATTTAACTTTTTGATAGCTTGCTATAGCCTCAGAGAGCAATTTAGGCTTATTATTGTCGGAAACATCAAGTTATTCGGATTAATGTAACTTTTTGATCGTAATTTACCATCAGCCAATATGATCTCATAACTTTTCCTCATAAATTTTATTATATTTGAAAAAAATGTTTCAGAAAGTGTCAGAATCGTCAATTTATATTATCCAATGACTTCTGAGAGCCTCACCATCCTAGGAAGGCCAGAGTTCCTAGAGGGGCAACCTTGTGCGTCCTTGAAGGTTCCCCTATAGGGGCACTGAAACTTGCTAAAGTGGCCGCTCCAGGGGAGCATTTGTCGTTCATTTTTATATTTGTATTGTAACCTTGTAAGGAGAAGTATTTCCACCCACAAAAATCAAAAAAAAATATGGTGATTTGAAACTAAAAAAATATCAATCGATCAAACTTTCTCATATGTCTTTTTAACTTAAAATCAAAAAAAAAAACTAAAAAGTACACTATGGGGACCCCTCAAGCTTCAGGGACTTCATGAACCGACCCTTAACCACTATAGTAACCACCAAAAAGCCCTATTTTGTCCCCTAAACAGGCTTTGTCTCCTTTTATCCCTCTAAAGACCCCTCTGACGTACCTAACTTCTCCAAATTTCTCGAAACTTGGGTAAAATCCAGCATGATCCCTCTACACTCCAGCTATCAATTACCAATCCGGCTTGACCGCCCGATTACCTAACCAAATCCTCGCTCATTTCGACGACCTCCTTAGGAAGCCGCAATGTTTGCCAAACTTTGTTCGAATCCGTGGCGGCGTTTTTTGCGCGCATTTGATGTTTCCCGCCGTTTCTCAGCCGGCTGTGCCCATTTCTCGCCACGGATATCCATCCCAACATGGACGAAACACGAGGGCAAACACACTTGACTCGGCTGCAAATGGCCTGGAACTTAGGTGGCTTCTTGAGGCCTACCGACAAGGGTAAACAGCGTGTCAATTAGGTTGGGTTGTAGAAGGAGACCTGTTGCCGTCACCGGGTAAGACGATATTTGGCGGCTCTTATCTAGGCTTTAGGAGCTTTTGGCAGCTTTTCCAAGCTTCATTTCATTTTCCAGCGCTTCTAGGCTTCTTGAAAAGACTATCGGCACTGATTTGGTAATATAAACTCTAGGCGCTCTGTTTAAGAAAGTTTTAGGAGCTCTTATAACCTTCAAAAAGCTTCATTTTCCTTTTCAAGCTTTAACAGGATCCTTATAAGGTCCATCCGAACCGTTTCCTTTTTTTCTTTTCATCATGGGTCTATCGGTACTGATTTGGTGACATCTTATACCATCTCTAGACGCTCTTAAGAGTATCCCAGGAGCTTTTCTGAACCTCTCAAAAAAATCTAAAAGTCCCTAGGCGATTTTTAGACTTTTGAAAACATCATTTTCAGCTTTGACCTTTCACAGACTCCTTTTGAAGCCTATCGAATCGATTTTTATCTTTTCATCAAGGCTTCAGGATTTATCTTCTCATCAAGGCTTCAGGAGCTTCTGGCAGCTTTCCAGAGCTTCATTTCCAACTTCTAACTTTTATTATGGGCTTTTTAAAAAGTCTATCCAAACTGATTTGGTGGTATCAACTCTGAACGCTGCCATGAATGTTCTAGAAGCTATTTAAACCTTTCAAAACCTTGATTTTCATTTCTCAGGTTCCAGAAACTTTTTATGGCGTCTATCCAAGTCGATTTTTTTATCCATATTGTCAAGAGTCCTGGAGCTTTTCTAGGGTTTTCAGGGCTTCATTTTCATTTTCCAGCTTTCACAGGGTCCTTATAAGGTCTATCCTAACCGATTTTTTAAATTCTTTTTAAGGATTTAGGACCTTTTCGCAGATTTTCAGTGCTTCATTTTCATTTTCCAGCGTTTATAGGCTCATTATGACGTCTATTCGGACTGATTTGGTGATAACTTCAGATCATCCCCAAATGCTGAGAAAGTTTAGGCCTTTCGGGCTTTTGAAAGCTTTATTTCTATTTTCAAACTTTCACAGACTCTTTCAAATCGATTTGTTACTTAACATGAAGGTTCTAGGTCCTTATTGGCGGATTTTTCAAAGCTCAATGATCTAGGGGCCTTTCAAAACAAATTCATGTCGACTCATGTGGTTATACTAGATATTTTTCTTTTTTTTCTAGAGGTTTTTTGAAGCTTCTACCAACTTTTTATATACCTTTGTAGTTCAATTTATCCGGATTTGGTGAGACTAGCACTTGAGATGATGCTTAGCGACTTTCAATGGATAGTTTTTATCAAAATAAAAGAAAAATATTTTGGATGCGAGAAGATTTTTGAGGTCCTATAATCTGCTGAGAACGTTGAAAATTTTTTTCATGATCAAAAAAATTGTAACTTTTTTTCAGCAAATTTATCTAATTTTTAACCCTTCCCTAACACAAAAATTACCTATTGACAGTCTAAAAATCCAATAAAAAGGGTGAATAGACTCGG